ACCATCCTCTGGTGGCTCGTAGCCGGGCAAGTCCCGGGGCTGCAGACGATTGGGCCCCGTTGGGTAGAGCAAGACTGGTGAGAGGTGGAAGGGCGCGAGTGACTTTTGCAGCATCTTCTCGAGAGCGCGCGTCTTGGCACGGAATAGGTTACCGGACTGTGTGAAGCCGTGCAGCATCAGGATTTTGACATCACGCTTGGGCACTGCGGCGGGCTTTGGTGGCCGATTCGCCTGGGGATGTGGTTGGCTGGCCATTGCGCAGAAGCAGGACGTGAATGGCTCTGATGGAAAGACGGAACGAGACTGGCGGAATGAGCTGCTGGACGGGCTTCGTAAAACTCGCAAGGCCAGTGACGACTGGAAGACAAAAGGCAATTGCATGGGAGGTGCAACTGCTGAGGGTTTGATGTTGTGCGTAGTTCGGAGGTATTGATAATCAATGGGTCTTGTCGGCGTTGTGCCATGTGAGGCGCCGAGTGACTACATGCGGAAGGCTCAGGTACCTTCGTTAGCGCGAGGGGCAGGTTGTGGTAGCCGCGGTAGGCTGTTCCTAACTCAGCCCTGGATCGTAGCTTACACCACACATACTCACTATGAAGATCGATAAAAAGATTTTATGCTGTGCTGACTGCGTTGCAGCCGCTTGGTCTACAGCGTTGAAAGGCTGGTTATGTGTTTCCTTGTTATGATGAGTGCCATCGTATCTGCGCCGGCACTGATATCGACAGGCTATACACACCATCTCCCACGACATGTGGCTTTACGAGAAGAGCACCGAGGAAAATACAGCTGCAGAATCGCTGACGGCCACATCTAGTTGACATACAGCTAGCATCTGCCCTCAGTTTGTTAGATATCAAGCATCGTTGTTGTTGCCGCTACACGGCTGTAAGTCAACCTCGTGTCAATGTCGTCTTCCAGTCTACTGCACCTCAGATGCACCATCGCACATAAGCAACTAATGTCACAGAGACAAACGCAATGTCGCACTCGTTCAATGGATGCACTTTTGGGTTGTTGTTCTATGGTACAAATCTCACGCACGCGCGTAAAAACACATAGTCGTGGAGTGGATGATGGTCAAAAGAAACGCGATCGGCCGTTCCCGAAGAAAGCCTATCTAGCTTTGCCCTCGATTCGTATTTATATGCTTGCTATTCCAATTTTGCACATCGTCGTCGCTCGTGTCGTCCACTGCTTTCGTCGCCAGTTACCGCCTGCCCATGTTCGTCCGTTGGAAGGTTTAGTGCTTGTCGGCGGCGGCCTTGGCGTAGACGTTTCTTGGGTCGTTCTTCCACTCGTCGGCTGTGTCGGGAGGAAAAAAAAGGAACAGTTAGCAATCGCAAGGCCGAGATATGGTATACAAGCGCGTAGTTATACTCTAAACTTGGCGACTCCCGATTCCGGAGGTAAAATGTACGTACACTTCATCGAGGCGTTCTGTGCGGCATTGACGCCGTAGGCAATGACCAGACCTAGAAGATGCCATGTTAACCAATATATCATCGTAAGAATACATATGTAGGCTGTGTCGTAGCTAGGGAGCCCGTCGATACCCGGATGTCGCAGTGTCGGATATCGAACAACGGGGAAGTCGGCGCATCTGGTCGCGGGTTCGGCGGCCGGTGTGAAGAGACGGGCAATTCGGGTTGCTCTCATCCGGCGTAGAACGTACCAGCTACAAAAAAGGGAGCCATCGGCCGCACTGTATCAGGCGTTAGCATTATGATCATGGAACAATGGCGAATCGCGAACTGGACGAGGATGAGGCAAATGAACTTACTGACGGGGCCCGGGAACTTCTTTAGGGGGGTGACGCCGAACCAAGACATGGTGCAAGGGGTATATGGGTAGAAGAATATGGTGGGAAGATGAAGAGCTGTAAAATTGGCCGGTTGTGGTCGGTATGGCGAGGTGAGGTTCCTGTGCGAAGTGCGTTGACGAGTTGTTTTGTTCTCAACAGGAGAAGCGTTGTTTTCTGCCGAACCGTTTTTCCCTTGGTCCCGTCCTAGCCCGGTCCCGCCCACGTCGCTGTTGGCGCCTGAAAGGTGAGGCAGGGACAACTGAATCACGTGCGCCACTCAGCTCCACCAGCCCATGTTACCCACATTGGTCGAGCCCCGTTTTGCGGAGCCACGAGCTGTCCATGTGACATCACCGCCAACTGAGGGGGAGTTCCAAGCTGCTAGGAAGTGGGTTTACTTGTCTGTTTCTGTCTCTCTGAGTGGCCATCCCCATGTTTCTGCTGCCGTTTACTCTGGTGGGGCATATCAGGTCATTCCTGATGACAGCAGACGAGGCAGGGAAGGAGGAGCCGGAGACAACGCAGGCAGGGTGCAAAAGACAAATTGGGTGAGCAAATAAAAGGCAAAGCTCTCGACGTGTTTCGGTTTGAGTTTACATCTGTCTTTCTCAACTTTCGTTTTTCAATTGATCCATCCAGACAACTACCGTTTTTATAGTTGCTGCGGTTGACTTTCACGGAATTAGAACCTCCTTCCAGGAACCGTCAGTCAATCGCACCTGCCGCCTCATTTTATTGTCCTTACTTCCCTCTCGTCGACCTTTCACACACTATTTGCCATTCGAGGCTTTACGTTTTGAAAAGCAAGAGTGTCCATCATTGCAGCTTCCCTGTCCGTCTCACAGCAGCCCTTCTACGCATTCCTGGTCCGCCAGCCAATTATCCTACGCCGCTGCACACCCTCTTTGTCTAACCCCCGCTCTCGTCGCCCAGAGCTGTTGCCAGCGTTCCTTTCTTTGTGCTGTCGTATTCTACCTCTGCAAAAATACATCGTCCAGGCCACTCTTTTGCCTTGCTCCAACTGCCAACCTATCTCCGCAAACTGCTGGCCTGAGCAGCCTTGTACCGTGTTTACCCTGCCATTCCGGTGCTACTCCAAGGAACAGCTGATTCGTCCCCTCTCAAACTTCCCCTCTTCCCTCCTGTGCCCTTCCTGCATGCTCCCAAACTTTGTACCCTCCATCCCACAAACAAAGCTGATACAACCAACCGCCGCCACCACCAACTCCTCTGTCTTGCTCTCGTCCACGAAGCTATTCCGGTTCTTGATTCTTGTCGCTTGCCACAGCCGCTTCTGCTGCTGAATACTTCTTACTCTGCTTGCTTGTCTGCCGTCCCTGGAAATACCCGTCTGCCGTCGGATTTGCAAACGCCAGCGCAGGACAAAAGGACAAACGTCTCTGCCACCCCAAGAAACTTTGCCAGACCCTGTTTCTGACTCTGTTTCTGTGACGTTTGTTCCTTGTTCGTGCTCGTTGGCTGCATGTGCGCACCCTAACTCGATTCCCCACTCGCCGTCAACGCCGCCACAACGACTGATTCGTTGTTTACGAAGCTTTCGACAGCTGTGACGACGACCTCGACATCTTCTACTCGCACGACCCCTCCCGCTTTACTCCTCTCCGTCCTCCTCCAAAATGCTTGCACTTCGTCGCGTGTCCGTGGCGACCGCTGGATCTGCACCGCGCGTCGTTATGACCCGGGCCATGAGCTCGACGGCACCCTCGCACGCAAAGAAAGTGCCTACCCTATCAGACATTGTACCAGACAGTCAGGACGATTTCAACAGCAAGCAGAAAGAATTCCGGGAGAAGCTGGCCGAGGCGCAGAAAGCGCAAGATTCAAGTGCGTCGTCCCCCCCTCTCTTTAACTCTAGACGCCCTTTGGATCCGGTGCCGGCCGACGGTGCCGAGGACCCCAATGCGCCACCTATGTTGCAGGGCCTGGGCTCACTTAGTATTACCGGTGGTAAAGGATCACGGGCCGAAGCGTCGTCCAAGACACCAGAGCGCAAGTCCGGCCCCATCGCCAACCTGATCTACGGCACCAAAGAGGGCCGCGAGCTCGATGCACAGATCGAGGCTAGCTTTAGCCAAGTCCTGGCACGCGGCAAATACGTGCACTCGATCGTGACACACGAAGTCAAACCCGACAAGGTTGCCGAGTACGTGGACCTGGTCGGCAAGTGGTACCCGCGCATCGCGAGCATTCCAGAGAACAAGGTGCATCTGGTGGGCAGCTGGCGCACCGAAGTCGGCGACTGCGACACATTTGGTAGGTTCTGGCTTCTGCGAATTCCATCCTACAACGTACACAATTTTATCTAATCCTTATATTCTTCGTAGTTCACATCTGGGAGTATCAGCGGTACGAAGGCTACCATACGTCCATCAACGCCGTCGCAAACCACCCCGAGTACCCCGAGTTCGACAGCAAGCTGCGGTCGCTCATCAACAACAAGCACGTCTCTCTTATGCAAGAGTTCTCATTCTGGCCCACGACACCGCCGCGCCAGCTTGGCGGTCTTTTTGAACTGCGTTCGTACACACTGCACCCAGGCAACTTGCTCGAGTGGGAGACGCACTGGCGGCGCGGCCTCAAGGCACGGCGCGAAGTCATGGAGGGCGTGGGTGCGTGGTTCGTCCAGGTGGGCGAACTCAACACGGTGCACCACCTGTGGCAGTTTGCCAACCTGGAGGAACGCAAGGTCCGTCGCGAGCAGAGCTGGGGCATAGAAGGCTGGAGCGACACGGTGCACAAGACGGTCCCGCTCATCCAGTCCATGAAGTCACGCATCCTGGTTCCTATGCCGTGGTCCCCCGTGGCATAGGTGCAGAGGGCATGGGCGATGCTCTTGCGTTTTTATATTAAGAGATTGGATTGGGATGGCCGCGTATGATTGATATTTTCTGTGGTTTGGGATTTGGTTTCGATCGCATTGTATTGCACGTCTTCGTTTTGGTTGCATTTTTTTGTGGCAGCTGAGGCTCTCATCTCGCGCCACTGTGTCTTGACTGCGAAGCTTATTTTCTCTGTTACATTGTAAATGAAAATACATATCTCTTAACCGACAATGCCTATGCAGTTGTATGTACAGGATTTGTGCACTGTCTCTCAAACGCCACCGACGTCGGGATACCAAGAATCACGTAACACCAGTGGTATATGCAAACTTTCTCTTTGATGTACTTATTCCCTATTCGTCAATCTCCTCGTCCATCACAGCGGCCAGATTTCTTCGTATATGTACAAGGGCGTGGCTCAAGGCGTTCAATTTGGCGCTCAGGCTGAGCAAACTCGGGTCGGCACTCTCGACGCGGATCTTTTCCCGCACGTAGATGCGCGCAGGACCTTCGGGCGTGGAAGAGCCAGTGCCCGTACCACTGTCATGTCCGGAATCGGATCCAGCAGCACCGGGAGGTGGTGGGCCATGCAGACCCTTGGCGCTGCCGTCCTCACAGCAGTAGTTGAAGACGCGATCGGCCTCATCATGTTCAATACGTCGCGCCGTGCCCAGCGCCAGCGCAAACTTCATGCCGAGGTTGACCGGCATGTCTGCCGGTTCGAGAGCGCGCAGCCACAAGACGAGCTGACTCTCCTGGAGGCCAATGTAGAAGCTGATGCCCGGAGGTAGTTGGGGCAGGAAGTGGGAGAGGGCGGCGGAGCGGGAGGACCACGCGGGGTCGGACGTCGTAAGGGCTGGCCCGCGCAAGATGGCCGAGGCGTCCTGAAGAGCTTGGGCAAGGACGCGCAGCTGTGCAGCCAAAAATGTGCCGATTTTAGGAGCAGGGCGAAGGGCGTGGGCCGTTTCCGAGGAGGATGTCGACGATTTCTCTGGGTAAGCGTGTGTGAGGGTGATGTTGAGCAGTTCGATGGAGCGGGCGAGTAGGATGCTGAGGTCGTCCAGCGGAGCAATGGTTATAGGATGGTGGGGATCGATAGAGAGAGTCTGCGGAGGCAGGGTGCGCATCTTGAGGTTAACCATGCCTTTCGTGATACGCGTGCCGAGGCGGGTGATATGGCCTTTGACGGCCTCGGTCCGTGGTGTGCTGACAACAAGCGTGTTGCCTTGGTCGGCGGGCTCGAGTAGCTGATAGCAGTCTTCGATGCCGACTTTGAGACCGCGCAGGTCGTCACCCATCTCGTTGAGAAGCCATTCCAGCTCGCGGGCCTTTGTATCGGGTGAGCCATCTGTTAGTAACGAGGTATGCTGTGGTGACAATGACTTTTGCTCTCTCTGTGGCTCAAGCATCGTATGCGCTTGTGAAATCTCTGCTTCATGTGTCTCTTCTGCCAGTGGCCCTGATTTGCTTGTCTTCAACAGCTGCGCGCTCCCGCAGCCCCGTTTGAAAGTCTTCGACTTGAGCTTCTCCTGGTCGACGAGCCTCTTGAAGGGCTTGTCGTTTTCAAGACTCCGCACCATGTGTCTTGGTCGCGGTGATTCATTGAGGAAGCCAACGTCAAAGGCAGATGAGGACTCGGGCGCCGGTCGCAGAGCAGAGCCGGGCAATGGGCAAACAATGACCCAATCGGACGACATGGCGAGACGGTCGAGGGGAGCCAGACGGGTGGGATGGTGTTAAAGAAGCAGCAAGGAGCAAAGATGTGGGGCACAAGACGATGCACGAGGAAAAGAGTGAGAATCAATGCAAAATCGACGGGGAAACGAGCTCACCTGTGTCGTCTCGATCGCATCTTTTAACTCCTCCGGCGGCAGACTTGGCCAGATCGCCACAGACATGTTTGTTTGGTTGGATGGGTGCGTGTGTATGTGTTCTCGTTCGTTTCGAAGATGCCTAGGCCAATTCCAAGGTCGCCGTCAAATCGTGATCGTGTCCTTTGCCCAGCGTCCTCTCAGCGCTTTCCCTTAATGGCTTTGCCTGCCAGCAGAAACCGATCATGAACAGGCACCCATATTTCGCTGCTTGGAGCTAGGAGTCGGTTGGCGACATGGCCAGGCCACCAAATAAATTAATACCCCGTTGGCTGATGCGGAGATCGAAGGTGTGTCGGCAGAGGCAGGTCGTGGTCGACACGAGCAGGAGCTAGTATGGAGAATCAGAAATGCATCTGCCTGCACAAGGTTTGGGAAGACAAAGTTGGTGATGTGATTGGGGGAGGATTGAGGCAGCTAATCTATGGCTCAGTGGAGAGCTATGGCGACAGGTCCCTCGCGGGTGATGTTGGAGGCAAGAACGCAACCAAATTTTAGTCATCAGAGCTCCACTAAAACCCAGACCATGCCTAGATTCATTTGAGCGATGCAAAGCAACAACTTCTTCTGTCAAAGATCCCTTCTAATTCGGCAGCCTGGTCGAGGATGGATGCAGCTTTCCACATCTTTGGCTAAAGTGTCCTGGTATTCAATATGGCAACCTCAACGACGGCAAACAGTGAAGTGGCACCATCCCCAGCAGACAAGGGCCAGTCTCAAGGGACGAATCAACACAAATCAGCAAAGGGTGAGTTAGAGCGAGATTTTCTGAATGGGTTTCTTGTTTTTTGAGGAGTTAACGCCGGCCCCTAACAACCACCATCAGGACGCGTTATTACGCGTAAGAGAGCCATACTGGGCCGCGGTCAGCCCGCATCGGCTGCCGTCAGGCCGCTCGGCGTGCTGTTCGTCGGGACCAAGGCGCCGTTTATGTCAGTCGTGAAGCGGGCAATCAAGACACTTGACAAGGGCCCGGGCGGTGCACGGTGGTCGTCGACGAAAGTCAAGACACTCCCCGAGCGCATTGCGTTGGCGCAGGAGGCGCCTGTCCACACGGCGACGACAGCCGCTACCGGCACCGGCACTGGCTCTAGCTACAAGGCAGCGCGACAGAGGGAGGTGGTCATTCTCGGCACAAGTCACGCCATTTCCAAGCTCGCACTGGTGGCTGCATGGTTCCAACGCCAGCAAAACTACGTGGTGACCGTACGGACGCGGTCTGCTGTGTCCGTTGACGACGTGTATACGTTTGTGGGGGGGGAAGCGGAGGTCGGCAACGATGGCGACGACGACGGCGGAGGCGCCGATGCCGACGATACAGACGGTCCCATAGACACAATGGAAATCGACGCTCCGGCGAGGACGGCCACGACGGCCACGACAACAGCAGCCACCCAGCCACAAAAGTCAACACGGCTGCGGAATATGAGCTGTCTTGAGGTGGCTGTACGTTTAAAGTGAGGTCGCGATTTGGGAGCCTTCTTCACACTTTTGTTTTCGTCTCTCTGGGGTTCTGCATTGGCGTTCCGGTATACACAAATTCGCTAGCGTTCAATCATTCAGGTTGCTATTTACATCTTTTGTCTGGGCTGTGTGCCTTCTGTACGCCGTCTTTATTCATACAGTCTCGCCAACCTACACTAGACTGGCTTCGTCCGTCCATCTTACACAGAGGCCTTGATCTCCTGCACCTCGACGAGGGTGCTGTCAACACCCTCCTTGGAACGAGATGCCTTGCGGGGGTTCTTGGCCTCAAAGATGTCGTTCAGCTCCTCAAGCGTGCGGCCACGGGTTTCGACCATGACAAAGTAATAGTACAGCGCCATGGCCGAGCAGGTGGCCAGGTAGATGAAGTAGGTCTTCCAGGTAATCTTCTCGAGGGCGACAGGCAGCGCAAACTGGTTGACGAGGCCGGCCGCCGAGCCGGCCATGTTCTGCAGGGCCATGCCTTTGGCGCGCTGCTCAAACGACAGCACCTCGGCCGGGTAGAGGGCCTGGAACGGTGTGTAGACGGCGGAGAAGGCAATGGCAATCAGGAAAATAAAAACAATGGAGGCCTTGGCCGAGCTCGTGTTGCCAAGAGTATAGTAGGCGCCGGTGCCGCCGAGCATGCCGCCCCACAGCAGGGCCATGCAGACACAGCAGGAGATGAGCATTTTGCGGCGGCCGAACCGGTCGACGAGACTGGCGCCCGTGCAAGCGGCAACAGCGCTGGCAATGGTGATGCCCAGGTTGATGTTGAGCACCGTCGTGGTGTCGGTGATGCCAGTCGTCGACAGCATCGCAGGCAGGAAATAGGACACGCCGTTCTGGCCGGTCCACTGGCTGAAAACGGACACGGCAACGGCACACAGGATGGCTCGGTATAGCGCTGCCTTGGAGTTGAAGAGCACGCGGTAGTCCCACCAGCGCTTGTCCGCGCCGTCCAGCTCGAGCTCCTCGGCGAACTCGCGCATCTCGAGCTCGACGTACAGTGAGTTGGGGTTGTCGTTTCCGTGGTATTTGACAAGCAGCGCCCGGCACTTGTCGACTTTGCCGTGCACGAACAACCACCGCGGCGATTCGGGCGCGATGATGGCGCCGGCCAGAAGGATGGCCGAGAAGATGATTTGGACCCAGGTCGGAATCAGCCACGACCGGTTGTCTTTGTACTCGACACAGCCGCGCAGAGTGGCTGCCGCCAGGATGGCACCAAGGAAGTAGCAGCAGTTATAGAGGCCCGTAATAACGCCGCGGAACGCCGGGTGGGCAAACTCGACGACGTAGGACGGACAGGCGGCGTTGCCGATGCAGCCACCAAACCCGAGAAAGAACCGGCCGGCCAGGTATTGAGGGAGGGCGTGCGATGTGCCCTGCACTATGGTGCCCATAATGACAATCAGGCAGCCGACGGCAATTCCGAAACGGCGGCCCCAGGTGTCAGAGAGGGGGCCGATAAAGGGAAGGGCGGACACGGAACCAATGGAGTACATGCTGGAAATGAGACCGGCCTTGATGCCGAGGATGGAGGCGCCAAACTGCTGCTGGAAGGACGGCATGTCGAGAAGGTTGCCCATCAGCGAGCCATCGAAACCACCCGTGGTGGAGCCCAGAAACATGACGGCGCAAATGGCATATAGCTGAATCATGCGCTTGCTCGTCTTGTCGACGGGCTCGAGACGGCGGACAACTTCGAGCGCAGCCACGCCACGGTGGTCACGGAGGACGTCGACAGCGGCCTGGGCCACGGACTCGACATGTTGCCGCGTCTCGCTTGCTTTTGTTTCTGGAGACGTCATAAAGATGGTAATGATGTGGTAGTGTAAAACAGTTGTGGACTGACGATATAGTGGTTGTCGTGCAAGGTTGTGTGTACGGGACAATGATGGTAAATTACAGAAATATTGGATAGGGAATATGATCAGATAAAATAAGGATGCGAGAGCTGACAGTGTTTTGAAGTAAACGATGTATGGTCACAACAAAACCAGGAGTAGACGTCCCAAGGCCTCGGTATTTATGCTTCGTGATGCATGCGGAAGATGTCGAGGCTCCTTGTGGATTTGGGCTCGTTGTGCAATGGTGCAAGGCTATTGCCGCGGTGTGTTTGTCGAAAAAGCACGACGACAAGCGAGCTTCCAACTTCACGAAGGTCTGGGCCAGCCCCAGTCCGGGGAAACGAGAGTCGCAGAAAACGTGTGAGGAGATGGGGAAAGATGATCAGGAAGGCGACGAGAGGCGAGCGTGAATGGACGCAACACTCATTCGTATTCCGACGATATTTCCGCTCTGCAACCACAAACGACGGGCCACTCACCAGCCTCTTTACATAATAGGCCACTGTGAGGGGGCAGAAGGGACGTCCGCGTGGTAGAAAGACGTTGGAAAGGAGGCGTTGAGCATTATCGACTTCGTCCCTAAGAAGCGCAATTCGAATATCTTTTTGCCTTTAGTTTTTTAGGTAATTTGGCCCGCTGTTTCTCTTGCAGTTAGCCTGTTGAGCAGGCCTTGCTGTTTTTTGCAGCGGTGGGAGGGTTAGCTATGGTAAGCGCAGCGGTCTAACATCGGCGCGCAAAGGTGCTTTTGTCTATTTACCAAGTGCCACCAACATTGTCGCCGCTTTGCCTTCCTAAAATGGGACTGCCCTTGGCACCTTTCGGTGACTTACACCCAGGGACCTGACAGCAACGACATCTCATTGGCCAAAACGCGCCGTGCCGCCTGCGATGAACGGATCCTCCGCAATTGCTCTTTAGGAAGGATTTGTCCCCCAACACCTGCGCTTTGGAAACAAGGCACATAACCGGAATTTTGAGCGGAAATCCTGGTATGCCGTTGGGATGGTCTCGATTTTGGCTTTCCCCGCGTTTTGGCTCGTGTTGTTGCGGAGATGGACTACAGATAATCGGCTGTCATTACTTCCTAGACAGGGGGAGGCAACATGTTAGCATTTTCCGATCTTTTTTCCGACGTCAGGTGGCTCTAGGGTGCCAATCGCGAATGGGGCGACGCTGTCGCTGTGGGGAGACGAGCGGAAATCGAGGAGACAGTGTCTTGCATTAATTCTGCAAGGATGGAGAAGATGGAGTAAGCTTGTTTGAGTTGTGGAGGTAAGTCGACGATGAAGGCGGAAATTTCGTAGGAATTATCAGAATTATCTAACAAGACACAGAATAAGAAGTAAAAAAAAAACAGGGGGAAAGAAGAAGAATACGATAACAAGTCTGGGATAAGACCACTTTTCTCTGCGGGCTCTTCGGGACTCATATGTGCGGTAGAGCATATATATTGAATGTCCCTTATGGAAGTGAAGCTGTGAATAGTAAACATCACTCATCGTCATCGAACAACCTCTAACTCTTCCCCTCTACTTGTCCTTGTGCCACCCACGCACCGCAATGCCGTCTAATGCTTATTCCTCCACGCCGCCGGTCATCACGACCGCGTCGGTCGAGGGCGATGTCAACTACCAGCCACCGACGTTCCCACTCGGACCGTTCACCAAGTACGCCGGAAATCCCCTGCTGGTCCCCAACCCGGACAATATGTTTGAGTCAGCCTACATCTACAACGCCACGGCCATTGTGCTCGACAACCGGGTATATCTGTTGTACCGTGCGCAGACGGCCGCCCTCTGCTCGAGCATTGGCCTGGCATGGTCGGACGACGGCTACAACTTTACGCGCCTCGACCGGCCGGTCCTCGAGGCTTCGGAGCCCTGGGAGGCCGGCGGTGGCGTCGAGGACCCGCGCATCACGCGCTCCGAGGACGGACAGTTTGTCATGACGTACACGTCGTGGGACTTCAAAGTGCCGCGCCTGTGCCTGGCGACGTCCACGGACCTGGTGAACTGGACCAAACAGCCGCCGCTGTTCCCGGACCTGGAGGATGTCGAGTACTGCGCGCACACCGGCCGCACTCTGATCCGCAAGGGCCACTCCAAGTCGGGTGCCATTTTCCCCGAGAAGGACAAAAATGGCAAGTACCAGATGATCTTTGGCGATTCTCTGTTGTTGAGAGCAGAAAGCGACGACCTCGTCCACTGGACGGCCAAGCCGTACAACGAGTACTTTGCGGAGCCCGTGCACCCGTGGGAGTCGCGCTTGCTCGAGCCCGGCCCAGCACCCATCAAGACGCGCGACGGCAAGTACATTCTGGTGTACAATGTTGCGACGTTGGGCTGTGCGGGCTACCGCAACAACCAGTACTCCATCAGCCAATTTTTGATCGACTATGACAACCTGGAGAACGGCCCATTGGCCCGACTGGACAAGCCGTCGCTGGTAGTATCGACAAAGAACGAGAGGGAGGGCCTGGTGAACGAGGTAGTCTTCTGCGAAGGCCTGGTACAGTTCAAGGGCAAGTGGTTCTTGTACTACGGCCAGGCAGACAGCGAGCTGGGTGTGGCGACGGCGGATATATGAGGCGTGGGTTTGGTTTGCTTTTTCTGTTTTAATTTACAACGTTTTTGAGATTAAATTGTTATAGACTGCGTCAACTGTAAATGATTAAAACTCTAAACATCATCCACCGTGTTGGGAATTGGGTATCGGATTACTATTTTGTTATATGTGTCTCGCATCCTCGGCCGCTTATCGCATACCGGGGTCTCCAACAATCAGCTCCAGAGTCAGTGCCCTCAAGTCCCGATATGTCCAAAACACCGAGTAGCCGTCAATCTCGTCCACGGTCCACGGGCCCGTTCCGATTTCCTCGCGGACCTGAGCTGCAAATGCCGCATGCCTCTCCTCCACATCCGTCCACATATCCAGGATGGCTCGGCAGTTTTCGAAATGCGTCTGGTGCCACAGCTGCAGCATGATACGCGCCGTCGTCGCGCGGATGTCCACAATCAGATCCCACCGGTCGAGAACAGCGCGAGGGCAGATGAATACACTGCGGGCCAATGCGCACATAAAATAGAGCACGCCAGGCACAGGACGAAGAGCAATAAGACCTCCTAGCGTGTCGGTGCGGTTGAGGATGTAGCTGTAGAGGGAGAGCAGGACCAGGCTGGAAAGCTGGTGCATCACGAGAGACTCGGGTGTGGCCGGCAGCTCGTCTCGAAGGTCCAGAAGATGGGGTGGCAGGCGGACTTGCCACAAAAGGCACTCGTATTCGAGCTTGGCCCAAGCGATGCGCGTACTTTGTGTTTGCGTGGCATCATTGGCGTCGCTGACGCCGTCCAGCTCGGTGCGGATGCATTGTTGGTTGAACCGCGCTCCAATGTCGGCAAGCAGCAGATAGTGTCGTGCGAAAGTGCGCTCGCCCAGCGACATTGCATATCCATGCAACATGTCCGTCGGTAGACGGAGCAAAGTGGTCGGCCGACCGACGAGTTGCTTCCACGTGTACGCACTGACAGCTCCCGCCATGACGCACGCCGGGATACCAAGAGAGCGAGGCACTGATGTATGCTGCTGCTGCTCCTCTTCCCGAATTCGTATGCTGGTGGCCTCGACCGTTTTGAGAACACGCTCAATAGTTGCTTCAGAAAAATGCATGCATGGCATCAGCAACAGAACGCCGGCAGCATCGGCCAAAGACAGATCATGTTGTCGAGCAATTGCGTCGTCGAGCGCAGAAGCGTCGCCAGAGCGTTGTGCATGCATCAGGTGAAGAGACAGGGCGCAGGCCCGAGACAAACAGTCGGCGAGAATGCCGTTCTCATCAAAAACGTTGTCAGCAAGCATCTCGACTGCGACGAATGGTAGGAAGGGCTGGACATCATGCACGTAACGGTCGTACAGCGGGTTTCGTAGTACACCGCCGCCTTCTGAGTACCTGCGCTGTTCGTTGCTCGCCGTGCTTCCGTCGGAACCGCCTGCTGCTCGCCTCTCCAGCAGCGTTTTGTTGATCTTGCCGGTCAGGCTGTCGACTTTCACCCTTCGCCGACCAGCGTCAGAAAAGACACCGTCGTCCGGAACGGCCAGTCCGCTCACAGCTGGTTGCACGTCTGTCGGTTTACTCTCCCCACCTCCCAGTCCCAGCCGTGCAGCAATGTTCCGCGACGTCTGTCGCCGCTTGAGGCTCGGCCGTCGCTGGCTAAACTCGCATGGCAGATCCAAATGCTCGCAGTCCGTGCAGCGCGAGCCCGCCCCATCTACCACGCATCGCTTTTTGCGGTGCCGGCAGTAGTCGCACGACTTAAACATAAAAGTAAGCGTGTTAGTCAATCAAGCGGGAATTTGCGGTCGTAACGGACGGTTGCATGAGCCGCTGTTTCGCTTGGTGATGTCAGAGCTGCTACTCATGCGGCGAAAAGAGCGGCAAAAAAGGCGGCCGACAGCGAGGGCAGCGACAGATGACAGCATTTATGACAGCGAAGGGGTTGGGGCGATTGGGGGTGGTAGTAAGGGGGAAGGTACGCTTTCCTCTGTCGCTCTTTCATCTTTGCACACACCCTCATCCGATCGATTTCCCAAAAGCTAATATCTCTCTTCCCCTAGCGCAACCATCTCTTGTCTCCATTTTCTCACCATCCCATCCCTCCTCACCCTATGACTGCATTGTCTCTATCTCGAGTCAAGTTAGTGTGATGGCGGAATGGTGGCGGACAAGGCACTTAGCGGAATCGCTGTTAGTTGACTGTTAATTGATCTGTGGGACCTTTCAGACGTCGGAAAAATCGTCGGTGTTTTGAGAGCTTCACTGTCCCAGAGCTTCTTTGCTTGATACAAACAGCAAAATCGATTATCATGTGCCAATACAAGACCGTATATATGGAAGCGGGCTTTCATGTTCATACAACAACATCACGAAATGGCTTTCATTGGCATCCACTGGACGGTTCACTAACTTCCAGAACTTGATCTCCGGCTTCCTCCTCCGTCTCCCGCGGCCACCGAACATCACAATGGCTGTCATTGCCATTCACCAAGCCGAGCAAGGGCAAAGGCACGTCCCAAAGGTAGCTTACAATTGATTTTTGGCCACTATTTGCTAACCAAGTCGCCTGCCACAGTCCCAATGCTTTTGCCTCTCAGACCCTTTCTGGCTGGAAGTGGCGCCAGCTTGACAAGCAGCAAGAGTGGACAGCCTGCGCACACGACAAGCCCATAACCGAGATCTTCACAGACCTTATCGATGCCGGTCGTATCCCAGACCCGTTCTTGGACGAGAACGAGAAGCTCGTGCAGTGGGTCGGCGAGGCCGACTGGGAGTACGAGTGCAGCTTCAAGGCGGTCGCCCGCTCAGCTCGCCAGGTGCTCGTTTTCGACGGCCTGGACACGTTTGCCGCGGTCTACCTCAACGACCAGCTGATCCTCGAGTCTGACAACATGTTTCACACACACCGTGTGGACGTCCATGGCACTCTCCGCGACGGCGCAAACAGCCTGCTCATTGTGTTCCGCAGCGCGCTGAATCAGGGCAAAGCCATCGAGGCTAAGCTGGGCAAGCTGACGTGCTTCAACGGCGACAGCTCGCGCGTTTATGTGCGCAAAGCCCAGTACCACTACGGCTGGGACTGGGGCCCGACGTTCCTGACGTGTGGCCCGTATCGAGAGATCCGTCTCGAGACGTACGACGCTGCAGTCCTCTACGACGTCTTTGCCAATGCCGTTGTATCGGATGACCTGCAGCAGGCCAAGTTGGACATCACCTTTGCGGCGGACGTTCCCAAATCTGTGATAGTCCAGGCCACAGTCACCTCACCTAGCGGTAAGACTGTACCGCTGGCAACGTCCTTGGTCGCTGGTGCGACAAATGGATCTGTGTCCACGACCATTGCCCAGCCGGAGCTGTGGTACCCCATCAATCATGGTCCCCAAGCGTTCTACACTGTCAAACTTGAGGTCTATGCTGCTGGCAACGACACAGCCACTTCACCGACTGTCCTGGCTACATCTAGGACTCGCATTGGCATCCGCCGCGCGCGCCTTGTCCAGGAGCCGCTTCTTGACGCCCCGGGCACGAGCTTCTACTTTGAGGTCAACAACGAGGCTGTTTACGTCTCTGGCTCCAACTGGATTCCCCGCCACTCCTTCCTGACAGCCTTGACGGACGCCGACTACCGCCAGTCGGTTGACGAGTGCGTCGCTAGCAACCAAAACATGCTGCGTGTCTGGGGTGGCGGTCTCTATGAGCACGACGCCTTTTACGACCAGTGTGATGAACGCGGTGTTCTTGTGTGGCAGGATTTTATGTTTGCCTGTGGCCAGTACCCGTGCCACGACACATTTGAAGCGAGCGTTAGGCGCGAGGCCGAGGATCAGGTGCGTCGCATGCGTCGGTTCTGCTCGATCGTGCTGTACGCCGGCAACAACGAGGACTACCAGGTGGCGGAACAGATTGGCCTCGACTGGGACCAGGACGATAACAGCGGCAACTGGACCACCACCAATTTCCCTGCCCGCTATTTGTACGAGCGCACCCTGCCTGCCGTGGTGGCTGCCCTCAACGCCCAGGTGCCGTACCATCCTGGCTCGCCATGGGGCGGCATCAACACCGAGGATGCCACCATGGGTGATATTCACATGTGGCATGTGTGGCACGGCACTCAGGAGCCGTACCAGAACTGGCCAAAACTGACGGGTCGTTTCGTTTCCGAGTTTGGTATGTTGGCGTTTCCGGCTCGCCGGTCCGTCGAGCGTTATGTCACCGATCCTGCCCAACGCTACCCACAGAGCTCTGTCCTGGACCTGCACAACAAGGCCGGCGGTGGTGAGCGGCGACTGGGCTCGTATATCCTGGAAAATCTGCGCCTCAAGAGCGTCGATCTCGATGCCTGGATCTATGCGTCGCAGCTCGTGCAGGCCGAATGCTTGGCATCGGCAATCCGCAGCTGCCGGCGTCAATGGAAGGGCCGGCGGCGCGAGTACTGCGGCGGACAGCTGGTGTGGCAGATCAACGACTGCTGGCCGGTGTCGAGCTGGGCGCTGATTGACTTCTACGGCGAGCGCAAGCTGGCCTTTTATGCTGTGAAGCGCCACTCGGCGCCGCTCGTGGTCGACCTTGGTCGCACATATGTGTCTGTCGAGGAGGGCAAGAACACACTCGAGGCACTGAAGCCGCGCCGTGCACACATTGACGTCTGGGCGGCCAACGCGAGCCTGTCCCAGTATGTGTCTGACGTGACGGTCACCATGTTTGACATTGTGTCAGGCACGGTCGTGTCGACACGGAAGCTGAAGTCGGAAAGCCTGGCAGCCAACGAGACAACCGAGCTGCTGCATGGCCTGGCTGTCGACGACAAGACGGCCGTGCAAGCGGTGGTTCGTGACGCATCGACTGGTGCCGTTCTGAGCCGCGCGTCCGACTGGCCTCAGCCGCTGAAGCACGTGGCGCTGGCGACCTCACAGGACAGCGGCGTCCAAGTGACGGTGCTTGATAACCGCGTGGAGATTACGAGCAAGGTGCCCATCAAGGGCCTGGAGCTTTCCCTGTCGGCCGACAAGGCCGTTACATGGTCAGACAATGGCGTGGACGTGTTCCCGGGCGATGTGTACAGCATAGACGCGCCGGGGCTGTCGCGGACGGACACTGTAGATGTGCGGTACTACGGGCTTCACTAAGGTAATTTCAGTTGGACGGTCGACGATGATGTAGATATAGACACTAGTGAATTTGGAAGTCTAGATTACTCAATGAATTCGCTGTCAAGGCCCTGCGTGCCGTCCAATGGCCCAATGTACATGATGTCGTGGAAGACTTGGATCCAGTCGCCATCCGCTGCATCCTTGTCCTGGCCTCTTGCCCACCAGTACTGGACTTTGATCAAGGTTCCCTGCGACAATCCGTCGGCAGTTTTCTCCCCGTCCTCCTCCTCCTCCCACAAGTCGACATGCATGCCCACCCAGCCGCGTTGCTCGGCGTGTCGTTTCAAGTCGTCCACGGTCGCAAAGCCTGCATGCTGGACCAGCTCGTCATTCCCAAATTCAAACTCCTCGGGCCGCAGAGGTCGAATGGTGGCAGAGCTCTTCTTCTTCTTGTTCTTCTCTTCCTCCGTGACAGAGGCGCCGTCGATGCTCAGACCAGACGACTCGTGGAGGTAGCGCACGATGGTCGCCCGGTTTTGGGCCGCATAGGTCGGCTGCGGCCGGCAGATCTGGCGGCAGTCGGCGGCAAAGAAGCGGCCCCGGGCATCGATGTCAGCCGTGTTGCGGTAGTCCGCGTAGAGCTCCTTGAGGCGATTGGTGATTTCGGGCGAAGAAGTAGCCATAATGTTTTGGTCCTTTCCTTTTCGACGCCTTTCATAGATGTGACGGATTCTAGAAGTTCTATTGTAGATGTGTAAATACGTAACGTGTCAATATTGTTATGTCGCATGCAGTATGAAGTGACAATGGAATAATGAGATCTGTTCTCTTCAAAATAACTGCTTTAGGGCGTGCGTCACAGAGCGTGAAGACGGAGACTCGGGCCGTTAGCACAATAGTCGTGCTTTCTGAGCAAACATTCAAGCAATGTCATGGTACTGGCACTACCAAAGAAGCAGACGTTGCAAGATACTTTATTAAATCCAAATATCATTTGAAGATTGCTCGTCTCCCAGCGTTTCCAAAACACCGTGCTGTTATGCCCGCCACTTGTCGACCACGGGGCTCTGCCGCGGAAGACAACACACGGCAGCCAATGGCTCGTCGCGTCCCACCACCAAAGCTCGTCGGACGTACAGCGGCCTGGAACTGGGTATGCCCGCTGCGTCCATCATGACGTGCGGCGCGCCCACCGGCCAGGCTAAAACGTGGACGGGCGAAGTCGCGGCCACGGCCAAGCCTACAAGCAGTCTAGACGAGGGGAGTTCACATAAGAGTTTACTGAAGCGATGATGTTCCAGACCCCAAACCAGGGACCGTCGGTCGCACCATTCTACCCATTCGAGATTATCGCACGTAAATGTTATATGATACTTGCGGCGTCCCATCTGTCTCTGCATTACTAGTCCATCTTTGCGCTCCAATGAATACTTCCTCGTTCGTTGTGAGCCTCTTTCAGCCGTCTGCGTGGGGGTTGCTAGCCTGGCCAGGCCAGATCGCGGAGCTCTTCCCACTAGCATGGCCGAGGAAAGTCCCAGTGCCCCTGCCGTCCTTAAGCCAGACTCGGGGCATTGTTCACCAATCAGCATCGCGCTTGTATGTGCTGAGTCTGCGAAGTTCGCCATGGATTGCCGCCACAGCCGCCTTTGTCTCGTTTTTTTATCATTGTTGCCAATTTTGTGATCGTTCCGCCGTCTATTCTACAGTGCAACGACATTAAGGTATCAGCAGAGCCGATAGAGATTTTCATCTCCATCCTTTTTGTTTCCTTTTCTGCTCTTCCCGCCATCTCTCCCTTTTCTCTTGGTCTCAAATCCGCTCCCCTTGTTCTCTCTTTTCTGCTCTCTTTGCCTAGGATGTCGTCATCCACGTAAGGTAGCAGCATCGCCAACTTTGGCGCTTTTTGGCACTCAGTTCGCGCTCGCTTCTTCCTCCCTTTCCCTGCACACCTTCCTTCGGGTACGATACACCTTATATCCACCGTTGCCTTGGCACCTTCTAGCTCTTGCACCCGCACACTGCATTGCACCTGCCTATCCAGTCCTGTCCTGCCTCCTGTCCCCGTACACAGCGCCCCACTCTTCCAGACAAGCTTCTGCCACCAAAGTAAACTGTCTTCCTGCGAACATTGACATCGACATCCCAGTCCGCCCGCCCACCACATCGACTCGTTCACTCCAATCCGCCACCATGGTGCAGCCGAGTGTGGTGAGCGCTGGGGTGGCTGGCACATCCCGCCCACGACAATCATCCTCGTCTGCCTTCCGTCCGCGCATGATGTCGCGGAGCTCCCAAGGCTCGTTTCACGCCGGCGATATTTTCCCATCTTTTGACAAAAACACGTCGCTCCTCAAGAGACAGAAACAAGCGGCGACAGCACCGACAACACTTTCACCACCAAACGAACGCGGCGTTGGAGGCGATGGTCACCATGCCGCCCAACGGGGCCACGATACCCGGTCGACTTCCCGCCCGCCCTCCGACCGCTCGCATTCTCACAGTCCCGGCGGCCAACATAACGCGACTCCGCTACCCGTCCGCCAGCTCGGCCTCCTCGCCCTCCTGAGTCTAGCCGAGCAGACAGCCCTCAACTCCATTGGTCCCTACCTGCCCACTATGGTTGAGTCCTTTGACGAGGTGCCCGAAAACGAGATGGGCCTGTACGTCGGCATACTCGCATCGACGTTTGCGCTCGCCCAGCTGGCCACAAACCTGTTCTGGGGCTACCTGTCGGATGCCATTGGCCGCAAACCCGTGATGCTCTTGGGCTCGTTCCTGCTCATGCTCTGCTTCTGCGCGTTTGGTTTCTGCACCCGCTACTGGCAGGTCGTCGTCGTCCACGTCGCCATGGGCCTGCTGAACGGCAATGCGGCTGTGGTGCCGACATGCCTGGGCGAGGTCACTGACCGCACGAACCAGAGCAGCGCCTTCACATGGCTGCCCGTCGTTTACTCACTAGGCTCGATCACAGGTCCCGCGCTGGGCGGCCTGTTGGTGGGTGTGCTGCCTGGCGACTCCTACCCCTTCTTGGCGCCCAACCTGATGAGTGCCGTCCTGCTGGGACTGGCCGTTGTGGTACTGGCCATCTGGTTTGACGAGACACTGGACAGGTGCGACCGGCGCACCCTGCCGGCGGGGCTGATGTGGATCGACGAGCTGTGGTCGTGGTGCTGCTCCTTGACGTCGCCGGAGAATGGCAAGTCGTCGGAGGCAAGTACGCCTGCGAGTGCCAACGCCGGTTCTCCAGACAACTCTTCCAACGAGACAAGCCCACTGCTCGGGAGCAGTGGCCGCGGCTCGGAGGACGCGACACAGGGCGGCGACGACAGCGACGACAACAGCAACACGGTCGCCAAGCTGCCGCTTAGCAGCAAAAAGACTGACCTCCTCAAGCAGCTGCTCAACCACAAGACCGTGCTGCTGCTCCTGACGTACCTCGTCTTCCAGCTCTCCAACATTAGCTTCAACAGCTTGTACCCCATATTCTCGTCTGCACCGCTGCCTACGGGCCGAGACCTGCCGCCCGGCATGATCGGTCTGCTGTTGTCCTTTGCCGGCGCTGCCACCATTGTCTTCCAGATCACCGCGTTCCAGCCACTGAAAGTCAAGCTTGGCAACCTCGGCACCTATCGCGTGGCCCTTTTTGGTCTGGCTGTGAGCATGCTCGTCATGCCGTGGGTGCCGCCCAGTCCTGACGAAGGCAAGGAGTGGCAGCTGCACGTCCAAATCGGCGCCGTACTTGTCTTCAAGAACATTTGTGCCGTCGGCGGCCTGTCCAGCGTCATGCTGCTCATCAACAACTCGGCGCCGTCGCATGAGACTCTGGGCACCCTCAATGGCATTGCCCAGACCCTCTCGGCTGCCGGCCGCAGCATCGGTCCGTTCTTGTCGGGCGCCTTGTTCTCGCTCTCCACACGCATCCAGCGCCCTGCACGCGGCGAGCTGTTGGCATGGTATATTTTTGGCGGTGTGGCCGGTCTCGGCTGGCTGCTGAGTCTGGTGATCAGTGGTCGCGGGCTGGAGAGTGCTGACTGGGAGGGCCACGCGGAGGATGGGGACGATAACGACGATGACGATGAGGCAGACCACGAATCGCCATGACGTGAAATAACAATGATACAATGATATTTTGGATATTTTACATACATATAATTCGCATTCATATTTTGCAACAGTTCCTTTCTTTGATACATCCATGTTATGCAACTCTCCACAAGACCGCAGGGGTCTCCAGATTCAACTTGTTCGACAAGAGGTGGTGCATGATGGTCCATATGTTGTACGCACGCAGACTTACGTCGCCCAAACTCCAGGTCGTGCCCCAAACTCCACCATCTCCACTTGTAGTTCCTCAATTTGCCAATTTTTTGTCGCTGTGTTGTTGTCCCGCCTTTAAAAACCCGTCTAAGCACGCTCGCCGCCACAACCAGGCCCTGTTCTTCCACCTGCCGGACGTGTAGCTCAGTGGTAGAGCGAGGGATTGCAGATCCCTAGGTCGGGGTTTCGAATACCCCCGGGTCCTAATAGAGGCTGAACAGCAGTCGTTTTTTGCTGCTGACAGTGGTAGTTGCTTATTAGTTATTTTTTTTGCTTTCTTTCATTGCAAGTTACCAATCAACCAAGTTCATATCATGGTGTTGACTTGGATTATTCTATCATTTTTAACTGTTTAACTGTGGCTTGATTTTATAACTTAATTTTAATCTGATATATGCAGTAATGCGTTTTCTGTTTTAATAGAAAAATTTGTTGCTTTTTTTTTTCTTTTCTCGTATTAAAAGACACCGAACAGACTTTTATTTTATTTTAGTTTCTAAGTATTTATTTTCGAAAGAACAAATTGTAATTGAATGTTCCTAGGACAAATTTTTTTAAACAATGGCAAGCCGTCGCTTTATTCCAACCAGAGCATATCGCTCACTGTTTCTCACCTTCCACGTCTTGATCTTACCGCCCCCTTGGTTGCCATATTCGCCACAATTTCAGCCTCTCGTAGTTAGCAAAGACTCGTACACGCAATATACGAATATATGCGCCCGCGGCAGAAGACGTCGATGCAACGAGAGGCGTCTATTGAGTGACTTTGTTGGATCGCTCCCGATCCGTCCCATGTCCTTCGGGTAGTGTAATTATGCGCTGCTCACAGCCGACGTCCCCCTTGGCCCTTTTTCGTCGTCGCCTGATCCTTGATCTTCCCACTTTTGTTCCTGCATCGCGGCACTTCCGTTCAGCCTCATGGTATCGACCATCCAACCAGAATCGCAGAAGGAAGGATCTTGGAGCGCGCTGCGCTTCTGACACGTTTAGATCCCTCGTGTTTCTGACGTCTCTTCCTTCTCTAGTGCGATTTCGAGGTTCTCTCAATTAGTCCCACCCGACAAAGTATATATTTTCTCAGGGGAAATACGAAATTGCATGTGATCGTGCATGGGATCCCATCACGGTTGCAAAGTCAGCCTTTTGCTCTGACAGGAATCGCAGGAACTTGGCCTCTCCTGGACATGCTGACAGGCTTTTGCATTTTAATCCCTAACTACCGTGTTGTGTTGTCGGCAGGTACGCTGTATTGCCCACTGGATCACGATCTCGTCAAGCGCTGAATTTGACACATGCTCCCCTGCTGCCACTGGGAATGCCTGGCCCCGGGCTGAGCCTCGTGCCACTGCCAGGGTCTGCCCCTTCTGTTTGCTCGACATCTGGGGCCATCTTCCTATTTCTTGGCTTCCCGGGCTCCCTCCTTCCTTCCCCAGGTAGTATCTTACCTTCGGTCCCGCTCTATTGGCTCTCCCAGTGCCGCACCTCCTGCACACTTCTGCACTTTCTTTGCAAGATGGCTGCCCTGTAGCATTTCGGCCTCTCCCCCGTGTCTCGCATTCCTTCCACTTGTCCTTCCTTTCCTGTTTTGTCCTCGTCCATCAGAAGCTAGATTCAGCCCTACGTAGGGCTGACCTGCGAAGGGAAATGATGCCCGTGGTGCTAGAAACTCGTTTGGTCAAGATGGATTGGTCTCGACCTCGATCTCGACTTAGGTCTCGTGTTGATAGTTTCCCGTTTCTCCGTTTCCTTGTCGGGCTCCATTTTGACATGCTGCACTGCATTCGCATTCCTCGGCCGGCGGCCATGTTGTTTACCCGTACCGGCGCATCATGGACGTTCGCAACTTTCGTTCTGCTCCGGGCACCGCCTCACGTGCTGACCTTGTGGCCGTGCTCTTTCTATTTTCTGTTCGGCTCTTCGCTTTTCCGTAGCTGTTCTTCTGTTCCCCTGCCGTCCATTGTATCTTTTCCAGTTAGAGTCAGGGCTTTGCGCTCACACGTCCTGGCATCATCACTAAAATCTCACTGCAGGGTCTTTGTGTCGCTTGTCGGCCAATTTCTGCCTCTTTCCTCTCGTCCCTCTTGCTTATCCCGCAGTTCCGGTCCTTTTCTTGTCGTCCTACTTCTATTGTTTGTTACTGCCAGTGTCTATCCCTGCTAGCGTTTTGTTGTAGATTTCGCATTGCCACTTTCCTGTCAACAAGTATCGCGATGATTTACTTATTTCTGCCAGTTCACTGTTCCTTATTTTTGCTTCGGAATTGACATGTTCCGAGACCTGCGAACGCCTGCGCCGCACTGGATCCCAGCAAGTCGGTACGCTGTGGCGCGTCCCCATGTCCGCGGAAGGATTTCCACTGCATCCATCGCTTCCGCCGTACTTTTGCGCCTTGTTAAGGCAGCCCAAAACGTGGACCAAAAGAAGCAAAAACGGATCGACCGGAGTTTGTGCTCTGAGCGTCGTAATACGTCTGTTAACTACGCCATCCGTCTTGAAAAAAAAACGTACAGTAGTTACATCGGCGGAGCGCGCCCAATGTCTTGGAATCACAGTTCTAGCGGGGCGGCATGCCCGTACTCCGTAGTTCTTCATCTAGAAATTTTGAATACGTAACGAACGCTCAAGGACGTACTTCCGTCGGTTAATGACAGATTCAATTGCCACTCAACGACACAGACGCCCGTCAAGCACTCGTTTTTGTATCTTAGCTCACCCGTAGCGGCTCTAATAAAGTCCCTTCCGAAGCCACCGAAAGCCACCCGATGATCCCTAAATTGTCTGGAAGACGATGATTACAGAAGATGGTGACTGTTCCCAAACAGGAAATACGGTGGTCTACTTTCTAGTTCGCCTGGTCACATTCTGTCCCGTGGATGATGCTGTGTTTTTATTTTGCCGTCCGTTGGCTGTTCTAGGCTGTTACGCAGAAATAAATCATGCCGAAACTGTAGAATGCCATCCTCTCCCGACACAAGTGAATACTTCGTAAACCAGTCAAAAACTAGCTAAGGTTTACTAGAATCTAACAAAGCCAGGACCAGAAGGAGAGGTAGGTCTTAACCTTAACAGAACCACCATTGTCTTTAATCACCGTCCTTCCAGCGTATTCTGTTCAAGGCCGATCGTAAACGCCGTTCTGGCAAGGTGACCCTTTGCACGTCATTGTCAGCAAAGGGAAACGGCATTTGCCAGGTGACAGCCGAAAGTGAGGAAGAGAAACGGAGAGGCAAGAGATAGAGAGCGGAAATCCCACTTTTATTTACCACACCCTCTCTCTACTCCGTGCCCCTTGTACCTGCGCGTAGCTTTCAAGCCACGGCGTTCTTGCGGCGCTCCCAACCTCTTTTCTTCGACTGTTTTTCTTACTGATGACCCGCTCGCTCACCAAAATCTCGTGTAAGATCAGACATCGGCTCTGATTGGCCCATACACGCGGCTGTTAGATACATGCAACGTTCTCCAACGACACCATTTTGTGCCTCTTCTCTCATGCTTACCGTCTTCGCGGACCGTACGAATATGGATCACCCTCCCACCCCTGCTTTACCACGTACCTGGGATAAAGATGGAGGTGAGAATCGGTATTTCGCTTTTTTTTTTTCTCAGTCCTGGTTTATATATGTGGATTTGTTGTCTTAGCTGATATTCTTCCATCCCAATTTTCTGCATACATATCCTTTCTTTGCCCTATTGAACCTGCTTTTGATTTTAAAACAAGGTGTTTTCTTTTCCATGTTTATTTTTAAAAGAAGAAGACGAAAAAGGAGAGAAAAACTGCCTTGACAATTCAGCCCTCTCCCTCTCATCCTTCATCTCCATATTACTCTTCTGCCGTGAGCATAATCACAACGTCAACGCCCCTCCTCCTTCGCCCCTCCAAGACACCGTCTTCTTCGTCGTCCTTACGAGAGACATCGTCAAATCGTCATCCTAAAAAGACACATATAACAATGGACAAGGTCTCGTTCCCCAGCGTCGAACTGTGTTGGAGAATTGCCATCACGTTTTCCGTTTCCTGACACAGTCCATCGCTGCTTCTTTTGCTTCGGTTCGCTCTTTCTGCTCATTTTTGGTTCTTGCTGTTTTTCATTCTCCCAACTTCGTTTAATATTCATTCTTCAGATTCATTTCTCTTCGTTCGTCCCTCTAGTTTCTGTTTTCCCTTTATTATTGCGGCCTGCCTTTTCCATACTGCACCTTTGTTTCCTTGCTTTCGAAGTACACGTTGGGCTTTCGCACGGCATCGACAGATCCCTTATCCAGTCTTTGCTTCCTTATTTCTTCGGGTGCTATTACTTTTCATCTCATTGTCTTTTATTTACATCCACAAGCCCAGCCGTCCGGTCGTTTGAGGCCAAGCTACTCAAAGCACGGCAGACAGCGATCCAAGTCCGTGCCTCTTGGTTCTCGCGTGGACCCCATCGACGACCACAAGCTCCCGTTACATTCCCGTCGCGACCAGCACACTCTTCCAAACCCGGCCCAAGGCCATGTCTTCGCGGTCTAGCAAGTCCGGTGGCTCTGGCAGCTCCGGAAGCTGCAAGTTCAGAACATCGCATGTATGTTTTTCACCTCGTGCTCGCTTGGTTTGTTCTGTTTACTAACGCGGAACCTTCATTAGAAAACAATGAAACAGCTCATAGACTCCCTCACCACCCACCGCGTCAACACTCTCACCGAGCTCCGCCGCATCGAACAGATCGCCGCCACCTGTGAAAATGAGGCCGACGCCCGTGCCTTCCAGGAACCGATGACCAGTGCCTGGCTCTACTATGTGAACAGCAACCAGTTCTTGACCGAACTGCGCGGGCTGACGCCCAACTACCCGTTTAGCGGAGACGTTCTGGCCGACGCCCAGCAGCGTGTGCTCAGTGACCCCCTGAGCAACCGAAGCTGGAACATGGCGTGGCTGTGTTTGTCCAAGATTCGCAACGACGGGCTGATTCCGCTATACGCCGTGGCCGAGGCCAATAAACCGGAGATGTGGGGTTCCTATGACGCCTGCGGCGAGTCTGGTGATGGTAGCTGCGAGGTCTACCAGCCACAGCCGGAAGAGCTCGCGCAGTTGGCACAGTGTTTCGAGTACGAGTGGACAAAGGCAGTGACGACGTTGCTGCGGCACTGGTCGACGCCACCGACGTGGTATTGATGTGCAAAGGGGATGAAGTGGGTGAAAAAAATAAAATGTAAGAGATGTCGAGACGGTAACATGTCGGATGTTGATCGGTTATAATGTAACGTAGCCTTTTGTGGTCTGCGTCGGTGAGCAATCGCGTCTCTGTGGCATCTCTTCCATCTTTTCTTCGGCTCTTTTTCAATAGTCTTGGCATCAGCGTGGTCGTGGTCTGTCGTGGATCGGCCTCTTTCGGTATCATGGCGTCGGTGGGAGGACTGCTTTTGTTGCGTACAGCCGGAGTTGTGTCGTTCAGCGTGGAGCTTTAGGTATTGATATCATCTTGGTTTGTTGTTAGATCTGCATTTCCCCCCGTTTCTGCGTGTTTTTCATCTCAGCTTGTTTTTGTTGCTTCTTTCTACTTTTCTTCCTGTTCCCAGTGACATTGTCAGCGGCATATAGATTCGAGGTTGGAATCAGAATTATTGGGGAAGGGAAGGCCATAGATAATGTGGGCAGATGTGGTGGGCGGGACCTACTACAAACACACAATAAAATAACATAGACCGTTCTATACCGATAGGACGTAATGTGGCCATGTCGAAAGATGTAGTAAATGCGAAGCTGCCAACAGAGGCCTCACTAACCTTCCATTATTTCTAGAGCCATGTGATAGTTTGATATGCTACCTTTTGTTCCATCTCGACGGTGGTATTACCCACAGATCAATATAACTATCAGGCACGAAATACTCAATCTTAACCGTGATACGAATATTGCAAGAACCACGTCGTAAAATATTTTTTAAGTGTCGAAAGTCTGTTTCCTCTGTGATCTCGCCATGTCGTAGATTGCTTGTCGCTGTCATTGTTCTTAGAGTTGAGAATTCTCCCGTTTCATAGAACTAGAGATGCATGATTCAGTCAATATGGTTTTGAGTTGGTTCACTTTTGAGACAATACACGTCCTTCCCCACAATCAAACGGATGCCGGCGAGTAGTATCAATTCAAGTATTCCGGGTCGAGGCTTGGTTTGCAGTCGAGTACTTTGGCGCTTAGTTTTGTCTCGGCACATTGAATATGGCAGTAAATCCAAGTAAACTCTCCAGATGACTTTCACGTACAGTTTCGACGCACAACCGCCTGTCAACAGGAGAACCTGGCCATACTGGTGTTAAGGAAAGATTTTGAAGGAAGTCGAGAGCGCTTAGAAATGTCTCTATATTAATACCTGGTCTATTTGGAAAGCAAAAGGGGAATCTATGCATATAATGCGTCTAAATGTCTAACCACTTGTAACATGTGCTTGCCACCGTCTACGGTATTATTTTATTAGTAAATGATGGAAACAACCAACCGCCGTACAACTCTCGGCACTTGTGACACACAATTGTCACACACAACGGCTCATATGTCTCCTACGTCGTATCTGCCTTCTTGGCTGGCCAGATCAGCCAGGCGACAGCAATGGCCACCTTCAGGGCAGCGGCAATCCACAGGGCGCCCGGCATGCCCGCACTGCTGCGCTGCAGCCAACCACCGGCAATGCCGCCCACGAGAGTCAAGACGGCCGCGGCGATGCGGCGGTTGCGCTTTGCGTTGGTGCGGACGGACACGAACAACTTTGGGTCCGAGAAGAGGTCGCAGTAGAGCGAGGTCAGGACGTTGGTGGGGACCTCGCCGTAGCCGAGGACGCGGCTGGTGTAGATCTGGCCGCCAAACTGGAACGCCAGCAGCGCAACGGGGCACAAGATGACGTAGTCGTTGGCCTGGGCTTCGCGGAGGGCCGACTCGGCGACGGTGCTGAGGCGGGAGTCGGCGAACGCAGGGATGACGGAGGCCTGGGCGAGGGCGGCGGCGAGGATCACAAAGACGGCCTGGAGGAGGCAGGTGACAAAGAGGATGATCTTGCGCTGCTGCGAGCCCAGGCGGCGGAACTGCGAGAAGGCCAGCGCGCCTAACTGGAAGCAGGCGATGGACACAAGGGCCTTGAGCCAGAGACGCGGCTGGCCGGCTGGTAGGTGCGAGGCGCCGAGGGCCAAAAAGATGGTGTTGCCGGTCTGCATGCTGACAAAGACGCCAGCGGCGTTGAAGGCGACGCTGTCGGACAGGCCAGACACGAGGCAGTAGAGGAGGAGAGAAACATAGGCGTAGGAGAGGTCGATCTCGTCGGTGAGGGATGACTTGGTCGAGGGAGGTACGCTGGCCTTCTGGGCCTCGGTCGGGGAATGCGCCTCGAGGTCGGAGGAGGTCATTGCGTTTGAGTTTGAGTCAGGCGCCGTCGCGGGCGCCGGCAACTTGTCGCCCATCGTGTGTGTATGACGAGACAAAAGAAGGAATTTGTGTATGGCAAGATTTGAGATATGCAGATGGCGCAGAAGAGTGGCACGTGTCTTTGGCACACAATGGGTGCCGGTAAACACGACCTACAGTACTCGAGAAGAAAGGAGGGTGGGCGTTTAAAGGATGCTGGAATATGAAAATATGTCGTGGAATCAGCAAGATTAAAGGAGCGAAATAATTACCGAGGAACATAAGAATCTACAAAATGTCGCAAGGAGTCACGATTTTCTTTTATCTGTTTGGTCGCATTTCGGAGTACTCCGAGCAGTCGGGTCGTTCTTGCGCTTTGCGGAGAGTCACATGATATGACGTGACGATCTTGACTGTTTTGTTCACTGGGACTCCATTGCAGCTCCGCCGCTAGCGCTGTTGTGTTTGCTAATGCCAACCGCAAAGTCGCTAAGCTTAATTTTTTGCCGAATTTGGTTTCTTTGGCCACTCTAATTCCCCTGAACCAATGACACCAACGCGATTGTGACATGTCAACAAAAGGAAATGCCAACATTGTCTTGGCCCTATTTTCCCACCTCCCAGTCTGCGAGGAAACGCGCCTTGACCTCCCTCCCATTCAAGCCTGACACTCCAACTGTGATTGCCTGTCCCGGCATCAGGTCGAACATGTTGTCCTCCCAGCGCGGTTCAAAGGAGTCGTGGGCCTCCTTGCCATCATAGACAGGCTCAAGCCAGACGCCCTTGAGAGGCTGGTTGGCGACGACAGTGACGTGGGCGTCGACTTGGCCTTTATTCTTGCCATCCTTGGCATCCTTGACATGCGCCACCTTGACGTCCAACTTGGTGTCGTTGGGCCACTCGAGGTAGCGGTACGGCTCGGGCCAGTCGACATAGCGGGCGACGACATTGCCTTTGGCGTCCTTGAGCGACAGCTCCAAAATGATCAGACTGTCCTTGTTCCACGACGGCTGGGCAGCGAGGGTGCCGAGTTCGTTGTTCTGGCCGGGAAGGAGAGTGACCTTGCGGTCGGCGTCGGCCGCGGGGAGCTGTGACCACGCGTCTGCCCAAAAGTCGTACGCCTGGAGGGAGAGCGTCAACTCGGCGGCGGAGGCGGCCGTGTTGTGCGCAAAGAGGGCAAACGAGGGCGGCGCGGACGCCGCGAGAGGGTTGTCCTCGTCCACGAAACGCGAACCGGGCGTGCGCTCCGACGCGACCGAGATGGGCGCATAGAGGCGGCGGACCATGTACCACGCGGGCTTGGGGCGCACAAAGTAGTCGACGAGCGACCACGAGGTGCAGGGGTAGTCGTCGTTGAGCTGCCAGATGATGGAGCCGGCACAGCGTGCCTTGCTGACCCCCGACGGGGACCGCCCGCCAAACATCCGCTTCCAGTCCCGCAGCGCATACTGGTACGCCTCGGCCTGCATGAGCTGCGACGCGTAGGCAAAGTTCGCGAGCGTGGACGTGTCGTACCGGACGTTCTCGGCCAGGTAGCGCGCGATGCGCGTGTGCGCGCCGTGGCCCTTGTTGTGGCAGTCGATAAGGCGCGACTGCGCGTGGCGGCCCTCGCCCTTTTGGCCCGTGCGCGGCGCAAAGTAGTCAATTGTGCGCTGGACGGGGAAGCCGTGCATGCCAAACTCGGAGACGAAGCGGCCGGCCAGCTGCTTGTACTCCTGATACGGCTTCTGGTTGCCGTGCCAGACATCCCACTGATGAACGTCGCCTCTCGTCAGGTCGTTGGCGTCGAGGCCGCCCGGGCTCCACGGCGAGTTGGCCCAGTAAAACGTCTCGGGGCACAGACGAGCGGCCAGCTTGGGCAGAATGTCGAGGTAGATGGTGCGCTGCGGAAAGGCGCCGCCCGCCGGATAGGGCCCGCGGACGTCGCTGTGGTCGTACGCGACCTTTTCCCAGTCGAGCAGCATAAAGTCTTCGTTGCCGCCGCAGAGAATGGCGAGCGACGCGCGGCTGCGGAGGCGCATCGTCTGGGCTTCGGCTTCTTTTGTGAAACTCTTGAGGAACGACCCGTGGACCGGCAGGTTCGTGCACGCAAAGCCGTAGTCGTGCCACACCAGCAGGCCCAGCTCGTCGCAGGCATCGAAGAAGTCGTCGGACTCGTAGATGCCGCCGCCCCAGACGCGCAGCATGTTCATGTGCGCGTCGCGGGCGTTCTGCACCCAGTCAAAGTAGCGCTGGCGCGTGATGGTCGGCAGCAGTGTGTCGGCGGGGATCCAGTTGCCGCCCTGGGCGAAAATGTCCCGGTCGTTGACGCGGACCATAAACGTCGAGCCGGGCTCGCCGTCGGCCAGCGGTTCCTGCTGGACCGTGATGGTGCGGACGCCGAAGCGGGTTGTGTGGGTGTCCTGGCTGCCATTGCCACCAAGCGTCACCTCCAACACGTGCAGGTGCTGCTCGCCTTGGCCGTTGGGCCACCACAGCTGCGGGTCTTTGAGGTCGAACGTGGCCGTGGCCGACTGCAGGTTGCTGGAGAAGGTGACGGTCGACTGGGCCAATTCCTTGCCAGCCGGGTCGACGACACGGACATTGGCGGTCTCCTCGCTGCCGTCACCCACGACAGAGACCGTGACGGCCACCGTGGCTGACGTGTGGTCCGCAAACAGGCTGGTCGTGCGCACATAGACGCTGTCAATGCGGTGTTTGTAGGTGTCCAGATACACAGGCAAGTACGGGCCCGCCGTCACCACGATCGGGCCCCAGTCCCAGCCCCAGTGGTACTGCGCCTTGCGGATGTGGTTGCGGCGCGCGTCGCGGAAGAGGGCCGGGCGCACGCCGTACTGGTCCTCGAGCGCGGCGCCTCTTTTGTAGGGGCTTTCAAAGAGGATGTGTACTGTATTGGTTTTGCCCCCCTTGTGGATCACATCCTTCACAGACACACGCTGCGGCAGAAACATGTTGTCGCTCGAGAGGATGACGGTGCCGTTGAGGGTCACCGTGGCAAACGTGTCGAGGCCCTCAAACACGAGGTCCACCTCGTCCCCTGCTTCTGGCGACGCAGTGAACACGGCCTGGTACTCCCAGTCGGCGTGGCCCGCCCACTGCGTCAGGCGCTCGTTCTCGCCAATGTTGACGTCGTGGATCACGCCGGTTGCCTGCAACTCCATCTGCACGATCGACGGAAACGACGCCACGTCCGCCCACTGCGAGAGGAACGGTGTCTTGTCCAAGACGGAAACGGCCTCGCCATGGTCGTTTGTGCTGGCCAGGCGCCACTGCCACGCCGTAATGTCGGTTCTGGTATGAGTCATGATGCGGTGGCGGTTGCGTTCTTGTTCTGGTGGTGTTGTGATAGTGTGAATTTGAGCAACACGTCCAAGCAAGTTGAAGTTTGAATTCGTTGACACAAGACGTACTGTGCCGTTGGAGTTCTATATTTAAGGAAACATAGAGCTGTCTGGGTATACCACGGGACGAATTGGCAGGATAGGAAAGCAGACGAGAACTGAAAAAGCTTCCCCGATCATCGCAGTTACGAATCGGGACATTCGTTTGTCGTATCACATCTTGGCCCATCGTCTTTCGGTAAGCTCTGCATCACAGAAAGGGATCTTGCGGGGTAGCTCCGAGGATCTTCCTTGCTAGAGTTGGCGACGTTGTCAAACGTTCTTTTCTTCGTTTTCAAAGCAAACGGAAGTCCAACCGACGAGGGGCAATCATTGTGGTCCACGGACTCGATGTGATCCTAATTGCATCGGTTTGTCGGTTTCCGCTGAACCGATGTAAGACACTTCAGCCCCGCCGTAAAATAGCGTGACCACCGTGGGTTCCAAACGAAAGGGGAAATTCCCGTGTAAGTCGGCAAAAACGTCGGAAAGAGATGCAAATGCAGACTCCAAATCCAACCGACATGTCGTCTCACACACTTGTGCACTTAATTCTTGTATCTTGACTCGTGAATTCTAGACGGTCTATCTACCTTCGGCCTTTTCTACTCCACTGCCAGCGGTGCACCGCCTTGGTCGGCCGAGGTCAACAGAGCCTCCAGAATAGCAAGATCCTTCAATGCCTCCTCGGCGCTCTGGCGCGGGTCGACGGCACCCTTGGCGAGGCTGGCACCAAAGGCCACAACTTCGGGCTTGACGCCGGAGGAGAAGGAGAACTCCTTCTTGTCCTCCTTTTTGTTACCGCCCGCAGCCTCCACCCATGTGCTCGTCACTGCAGTGGGCGTCAGTGTCACAGCACCCTTCGTCGTGACGACCTCAATTTCAAAGGCCGACTTGAACTCCGTCCCAAAGGACACACAGAACGTGCCGATGGCGCCTTTGTCCGTCGCCAGGATGGACTGCACTGTGTCGACCGGGGCCAGCTTCGGTTGTAGCAGCGTCGTAAAGGCGGACACCTTGGCAATGTCGTGTTTCGCAGCAGTCGCCCCCAAGAGGTGCCGCAGGCCAGCGATAAAGTGCACACCGCCGTCCAGCAGGAAGCCGCCCTGGTACCCGGGCACCTTGCGCCACTCTGTATTAAAGAATTTGTCGTCGTCGCCAATCAGCGTGTTCATCGTCATGTGAAACGTCGTGACCTCGCCGCCCATCTGGCCGACGCGCGCCGCGGCGTACTGAATCACCTCCAAGAAGCGAAAGTTTTCGGCGACAGCCCAAAGGGGTAGCGTCGCTTTGCTGTGGCTGGCAATCAACGCTTTGGCAGCCGCGACGTCCTTGGCAATGGGCTTCTCGCTCAGAACATGCTTGCCGGCGGCCAGTGCCTGGCGGATCACTGCTGGCTGCACCAAAATGGGCAGGCAGACAATCACGGCGCCAATGTCGGCGCGCGCCAGCAGGTCCGTCAACGACTTGCCTGTGGTGGCCGGGCTGTCGTAGTAGACGTCGGGCTTCGGGCCATGCGTGGCCGCCGCAGCCAAAGCTTCTGCCGACACCTTGGATCGTGAGTAGACGGCGCCGAGTGTTAGGCTTTCGGCGGCCTCGACGGCAGGGAGGTGCTCTACACTGGGTTAGTGGGAGGCGAGGACCTGCAAGCAAAAGGCTGGCTTCTGAAGATTTCTTGCTTACCCTCCTTGGCAAAGATGCCGGCTCCAAGCAACGCGACAACAGTCATGGTGAAGCACGGTGTGATGAAGTGAAAGTCGGCTGTCAAAGTTGTTAGGGATGGTAAAGTTGTTCACGTCGTCGAGGCTGAGTTGTCTGGCTGAACTTGGAGAAAATAGGAAGACGATGGAAATATCGAGAATGAAGGCAAACAGCAATGCTCCAATACAAATGCAGCCCCGACCGCCTGCTACCGAAGCTCTGGTACGTAATTATGTTGTACTTTCCAATATTCTGATTTTGGCTTCGTCTGTCCCGCATTTCGGTCGCGCCAACACTCCATTCCCACGGCCATCCGCCGCGTGTCCCCAAAATAAACCGATGTCGGTTCCTCGAAGTTCGTGCGACCGTAACTGATAACTGAACCCTGAAGCCGGCACGCGACAGACAGACCATTCATTGCCTTTGTACAGTATACGTACCCAGACACCTTAGTTACCATCCGTCTCGTGCGTCTTGCCTCATCCGAAGTGCGGAGGATCGACGGCATCTGGCCACAGGTTTGTGTAAAAGACAATGGTGTCATCCAGTCCGTGTCTCGGTTTATCGCTTCGGAGTGTCGCTTCGGGGGACCATCCGACGCTATTCTGAGGTGACTAGCGCGTCCTTGATGGCTGTCTGCAGCGGACTTGGCACGCTTGTTTTGTAAGTCTTTAGCGTCATACCTACCTTCCAATAGAAGTAAACACCCCTGAATCCGTGGCCTTCGGAGTATCGCGTCCACCTGCCGACGATTCGCTGTTGAGACACAACCTGCATCGTCTCCTACCGAGTCAGTTGACGATGATCCACCTCCATCTCCCTAGATTATTTTACCGGATACTCGACCGCGGGAGCTGTGGGATGGACAGGGTAGAAGGCCGACACAGCCATGACTGGGAAAGTATGGTGATTTGGCCACCTCTCTTTTCTTGTTGATCTGACTTTTGTTGCGTTGAAGGTCATCAACAACAAAAGCAACAAGGAATCGCACTGCAGTTCTCACTCTATCTATCGCCACGTCGACTAACATAAATACAAACGGCGTCGCGGGCAGTCATCGTGTCAAGTTGGTTCGGAGTTCAGCGACATCAGACAGCTTAGCAAAATAATACACAAATACACAGCACCACTAAAACTCAACCAAACTCCACGCCGCATCGTCTGCATCTACCTACTACCGTCATGCATTCCGCTTCCGCCTCGTTTGATTTCCAGGAGCCGACCGTGGTCCGGCTCTCCGACGAAGAGCGCACAACCGGCCGTATCACTCTCGAGAACATTGGCATTGCCGTGTCCGCCATGCACCGTGACGGTCTCGTCGTACTTGAAAATGCCGTCAACACCGCCCACATGGACGCCATCAACGCCATTCTCGTGAAAGACGCCGAAGAAATGGCCAAGATGGACTCAACTCACTTTAATGGGGTTTGTACTCCCACCTGCATCTGTATTCATTTTGAATGTGCAACCCCACATACTAATCTGCCCTTGAGGACCAGAACTCCGTCGACGGCCGCCCGACTGGCAACATGTCCCAGGGCCCCCCACTCGAGCCCGAGCTGCTCTTTGACGACATCTGGGCTAACGTGCCCGCAGCGGCCGTTCTCTCCGCTGTCCTCGGCCCCAAGCCGCACGTCAACTATGTCAATGGAAATACGGCGCTCGGCGGCTTTGGCGACGCCCGCCAGCGAGTGCATGCCGACTTGTTCTTCAACCATGCCCAGTTCCCGTTTGCCGTCGTGGCCAACTACTATTTGGAGCATGTGTCCCCGGCGAACGGCTCCACCGAACTGTGGCTTGGCTCGCACCGCGACACCTCGTTCCTCGACCACCGCAACTGCCACCCCGAGCGCGCCGACACGCCGCCGAGCGACACAGACACAAACACAGGCGCCAAAACGAAGGAGGGGGCTACCGCCAAGGGCGCAGACTTTGGCATCCGCGACGAGCGCCTCGAGGCCCGCCGCAAGCACGCCCCACCCATGCAGCCGACCATCAAGAAAGGCTCGGTCGTGCTGCGCGACCTGCGCCTGTGGCACGCTGGACTGGCCAACCCGGCCACCGACCCGCGCATCATGCTGGCCTTTGTGCACACGCCCTGGTGGTATGCCTGTCCCGCGCGGGTTGTGCTGCCGGCATCGTGCCAGGCCAAGGTCGACAGCTGGGCGGCCCGTTTGCTGCATCCGGTGCAGTACGACGCACACTTTGTGCCGGCCAGCCTCGACCACCGAAAGGTCAAGTTCGACCCCAACTTTAGCAGCGCCAACAAGGGCTACCTGTCGATGCTGCCGCCGCATCTAGGCTCGGGCTATGTCGATGACGTGAGCAAGTATTAGGCATTGGTGCTGTGTGTGGACGGATGTAGTGGTACGGATTGTCGGAATGCCAGGTGGTGTCAATTTACTAAATATACCTAAGTATACATGCATGTATTTTGTGTCGACGCCTCACGCCAACGCAATTCCTTTTAATGCCATTAACTGTTCCACCTTGGTCACATACGTCTGCACCACCGGGTTTGCCTGCCAAGCCTGGATGCACCGGACCGCCATCACAATCGCCTCGCGCGCCCGCGGGTGCTGGATGGCTTCGAGACCCGGCTCTGCATACGAGCACAGCAAAAAGCATGCGTTGCACAAGAGCCCTACCAAGTTTGGCACCAGCAACAAATGCCGCCCCTGGAGCAGCGACTCGACCGCAAAAACGTGCACCACCGAGTACCGCAGTGACAGTGCCGCCGCTTCCACTGTCCGCTGGTCGCTCTGTCCGTGCTGCTGCTGGGACAGCATCTGCACCACGTACTGCCAGTACAGGGCCGCGTGCACTGCGTAGTACTGCGCCCGCAGAAACACCTTGATCGGGTCGAGCAGCGGCCGCACATCCATCGTGTCCACGCCCGGTCCCATTCCCAGCCCCATTCCCAGTCCCATTCCAGATCCAGTGCCTGTCCCAAGAGGCGTGTTGCCGTGGCCCGTCGCCTCTGAACTCGCTACTTCGTCCAGGTCAAACTTAACTGGTGCCGGCAGGTTGCTGTGCCACTGTGCCATCTGCAGCGCAATCTCGCCGGCCACTACAGGCTCAAACAGCGTATGTCCGTTCCACCCACGGCCGCCCCGTTGTCTGGCAAAGATCCGCCGCAAAGCAATCTCGGACAAAAACCAGTAGATGCCGGGCTCCTCATAGTCGCTCATCGGGAGCGGCACCACGTCCTCAAAGTCTCGCAACAAATTGGCGCTGTATGACACATACGCCTGTAGCTCGTGTTCGATTAGATAGCAGGCCCAATAGCTGCGGCAGAGTGCCTGGTAACTGGGGTCGGCTGTGGTGTCCGGGAGTGTGTCGAGCATGCCCGCAACGGGGTGGCTGCTTCGTCGTGGCCGCTGCAACAATAGAATCACCTTTTCAGAGGCCCGTCGAATGAGTTCAAACGCCTGTATGGGCCGGATCGCATACAGCAAGTAGAACGCCATCATAATATGGCACTGCACATGCGCCACCGTGTTGCGGAATGCGGCTTGCCGTGGGCTGTCGACGAGGGCACATGCTGCCCGAAAGTAGGCCCGACCGGGAAACACCCGCGCGTCGTCTTCCCTGTGCTGATGGCCCTCGGCAAATGCTCCCAGCGCCAGCACCAGCAATGTCAGACTGGTATCCACGTGGTCCGGGTGGAAGCGCGATTCGACCGTCCGTGTCACCATCGCCGAGCATACCTGTTGATCGATGATGGGACACCATGGCAGCACGTCCCGGTAGAAGATCTGCTGGAGTTGCCAGCACCGCCGCGGGGTGACATTCAACCATGCTGGCAGGTTGCGCATGTCGAAGTCGGCGTCGGTGCCGGCGTCGCTGTTTCCACTCCCATCAGCCGACGGTGACGCTGGTCCTGCCATCAGCGCCTCGCCCTGCAGAAACTCAGTCTCAATGTCATCGTCGCTGCCGATGCGCGCCATGGGAATCAAGGCTGGCGGGCATGGGTGGCCATCGAGGCGTGCAATGCCCTCAAAGGAAAGGCTCCCGACACGGGGCTGGGTCCGCAGCGGCAGGCGAGGCACATGATCGTAGGAGGGGGAATAGGTGGTGTCAGCTGTGGTCACGACAGTGGCGGCCGTGTCTGTCGACTGGGGAACGATCCGTGCTGACGGACTTGTCGATGCCTGCACGTGCACGGCGGCTTGGATGCTGTCCTCTTGTCGATTATGGATCTCGTTCAGCAGACCCTCGATGCGGTGCAGACGCGAAAGCACTTCGCCGGTGTCTGCTGCCGCAGCGGTATGGCCACTCACATTCACGTCTCTCCGCGTTGCGGCTGCAGCCCTCTTCTCCTCGGGAGGTTCGACCGTCCGGTAGATGCACTGGGCCCCGATCTGCGCACAGAACGAGCACGCTGGCCGGCCGGCATCGCAGCGCGTCTTGCGTGTTCGGCACACCTCGCAGGCTACCGACACGCGCTTCTTGGGGTAGTTCGTCTGCACCGTGGGGTTGGATATGGGGATGGTGGGTGGGGGTGGGTTGCCGTGGGTTGGTCTGCAGACTGCTTGTGCTGCAGACTCTGCGTGTGTGCTCAAGGTACTGCCAGTGCTTTCGGTGCGGACACGCTTCCTAGGTCCACCGCCGCCACAGCAAAACGATGAGGCCTCGGAAAAGTCAGAAACCGGTGTCTGTGCCGCGTGACCCATGGCGGAACGGTGAATGTGGATGCCGTGGCCGGACTGTCGGATGCCGTGCCTAGAATGGTGAAATGGGACTGGAGAAAGGATGCAGATGAAAAGGAAAGCGATCCACCACGGATGCCTTCCCTTTTTATCACACCCGACTCCCCGAACAAGAAAGAGACATGGCAGAAGGAACGATCATGCAAAACATGGGGAAGGTGCGCTAGCCATACCAGCTGCAGCATACTACCCCAGACTTGACTTGTTGACGGCGTGCTTTCCCCAGATGGAATGCACCAACGTCTAGCGTCGGTACTAATTACCCGCAGAACAAGTTCTTTCATCGCTCCAATGTAGACACAGAATTGACAGTCGTTTTGGGGTCTTGTCATTTTGCTTCTCGCCCACCAGTCGACACACCCCATTACACCGCCCCGCGTCGTGGCTTCTCGGCGTCGGATCACGGCTCGGATGCGCGTTAGTCCTGCTGGCGCAATGGCCTGTGGAGACATGGGGCAGGTCGAGGCACGCACACTGTTTGCCGGCCACGGCTCTCAACGGTTTGCATGAGCTTTTGGGTCTCTTCTCTTGATGGATGGCTGTGTCGACGCAGATCGGCGTGCCCAAACTCGGCATTGCTCTACTTTCCCCAGATTCGCGTTCGCCATTCCCATATCGATACCCCGGATTATCGCTTAATTCGAGCCCCAGTTCACCAATCAAGTGTCTTACGTTGACATTTCGACGTCCGTGGCGTGGGGGAAAGGGGCATGGGAACACACATTCGCTGATGCATGCACCCGAAGAGCAAACGTTGGTTCTGTGTTGGGTGCTGGGCGTTGTCTACCTGCCCACCTGGAAGCGCAAGATATACATATATCCGCCTGCATCGCCCTGGATCGGCATCCCGTTGCAGTTCGTCCTTTGGCATTTGGCATCTGTTTGCATTGTCACATTTACCTTATCTCCCACTTGTCATCGTCACATTTTTCTCCATTGCGTCTCCACCATGGCTGCCACGGACTGGGATTGGGCCGAGTCCCATCCAGAGAAGCGGTGGGCTATGATCATGAAGCTCAAGCGTTTCACATTGTGGTCGCTCTACATTTCCATCGGGTCGATGATGCTGGGTTCGTGTCTGGTCTCTTTGTCATTTCATCGTTTTGCACACAAGCATCCTCCATGTCACTAACCATTCATCCTAGGCTTTGACTTCTCTCTTGCCGGCACCCTGACAGCCTTTCCTTCGTTCCAGCAGCTGATGGGCGTGCCATACGCGGCCGAACCCTCGGGTTACCTCATCACGGCCCGCGTGCAGTCTGCCTGGTCGGCCATCTCGACCGTTGGCGACATCGTCGGCATTGTTATCTCGAGTTTGATCATGGACCGCATCGGCCGCAAGCACACCATCTTCTTTGGCATTGTCTTCACGTCCGTCGGCATCGGCATGCAGATTGCCTCGCACGAGTGGACCCTCTTCCTGGGCGGCCGTCTTGTCAATGCCGTCGGATTTGGCGTCGTCTACGTCGTCTGCCCCGTGTGGATCGGTGAGAACGTGCGGCCTGAGTTGCGTGGCTTGTTCTTGTGCTTCATCAACGGCTCCATCATTCTGGGACAGTTTATTCTCTCGTGAGTTATGCACGGCTTCCATCCCGCAAACGTCCATGACCGGACACTAATCAACCACACACCTCAGATTGATCGCCTACGGAACACAGCACATCGAGGGCAAGTGGTCGTATGAGTCGCTTATCGTCTTGCAGTTCACATACGTCTTCTTCCTCATTATAGGCTATCCCTTCTTTCCCGAGTCGCCCTACTTTCTCCTGTCGAAAAGAAAGGACGCTGCCGCCGCTGAGAAGCAGTTGCGCCGCATCTACGGCAGCAGCAATCCGGCCCTCCTGACGGCCGAGCTCGCCCGCATCCAGCGCCTCGTTGACGAAGACGAGTCTGCCAAGCGTCTTACACGCGCCCAAGGCCCACTCATCCAGCAGTGCTTCCAGGGCACCAACCTCAAGCGCACCCTCATCTCCCTCATCCCGCCCGCCACCCAGCAGTTTATTGGCGCTGCTTTTGTGCTCGGCTACATTACCTACTTCTTGTCGCTCTTGCACATCCAAAACTACTTTACTGTGTCGGTCGTACTCTACGTCGTCATGTTCCTGAGCAACGCCTCCGCCTTCCCGCTCATCGAGGTCGTTGGCCGCCGCCCGCTCATGATTGTCGGTATTTTTTCCCTGACCGTCATCGAGTTCCTTATGGGTATCATGGGCGTCGTCAACAATGCCGCTGCCCTCTGGGTCACCCTCGTGTGCATTTTCCTCTGGGCCTTGGCTTACCAGGTGACCGTGGGCGCCGTCGGTCTTGCCGTCGCCGCCGAGGTGGCCACGCCCCGACTCCGCCCCATTACCATTTCGCTTGTGGGCTGCATGCAGGGTGTCAGCGGCTGGCTTATTGGCTTCGTGTCTCCGTACCTCATCAACCCCGATGCCGGTAACCTGGGCGCCAAGGTTGGCTTTGTCTTTGCCGGGTTCGGTGTGCCGTTGTGCATTTTGATATATTTCTACATCCCCGAGACCAAAGGCCTCTCCTTTGAGGACTTGGACATGCTCTTTGCGAACAAGGTCAGCACGCGCCACTTTACGCGCGAGGTCTACCGCCTGCGAGCCCAGCGTGACGCCGCAGAGGCCCGAGCCATTGACAAAAACGGCAGCAACAGCATTGGCGAGTCCAAGGAGGCCGGTGTCGTTACCGAGATGGAGGAGAAGGATACTGTGTAAAGAAGCGGATGTACATAGTTGACCAAATTGTGCCGCAATGTGTCATTACGGCTGCCACTCTGTGCAATGTCAATATCGAGACAGGTTGTCATTTTGCCAAGCACTTCGTGTTTCCACCTCCATGCAACACAAGCACATATTCAAATCAGTTGCTGTCCCCTGCTCAACAAAAATGTAACTCTTCTTCCCAATTGCTATGTATCCAGCTGTCCCGTCTATAAAGCGTGTGTAAAGACACGTAACCACTCTCGCTATTTCAATCGATGGTCATCCATAAATCAAATCAGATAGTTATGGTCTCTCCCTCTCCAACTCCCTACCAAACTCTCTGTGTGTGTCTGCGTCGGTGCGTTAATAGGCTTTTGCTGGCGTTGGGGATTTTGTCACAGTTCCAATTTTTCGTAATTGACTTTAGTACACATCTGACGACCGATACTCAACGTCGTAGCTGCTTGTGGCCGTCGCCACCTTGGCCACCGTGGCCTGCAGCTTTTTGTACACATCCGACTGCCGGAACGCCGCCGCTGTCGCTGCATCCTTGTGGCCCGTCAGCGTCACGAGCACATTGGCATCCTCGCGCGCGGGGGCCACAGCAAGAAAGTCAAAGTGAGCCGGCGACTTGACAAACTCGGCGTAGGCCGTGGCTGCAGCGGCCTGGTCGGCCTGGGGCACGGTCGCGTGCGAGACAATGTAGGAAGCCGCATGTGGCGTCTTGTCGGAGCCAGTGGGCAGGATGATATGGTGGCAGGCAAAGCTCGGGTTGGCGCCGTCAATGATTTTGCCAAAGCTCGGCTTCACGGACTGGTACTGCTCACCCGGCTCAAACTGATCCTTCTCGGCGGCCGAGGTCCAGTCGGCGAGCATGGCCACAACCTGGCGGTCGGCCGTTTGAACCCCCACAATGCCCTGGCGAGAGATTGGGAACTTGGCTACGGACGTTGCAATCTCGCTGTATATGGAGGAGAACTAGGATGGTAAGACCTGTCAGCGTGCGTCCCTCTTTCCTTTTTTATTTTCACGCAAGCAGTCGTTGCACATGTCTGGGCGTGTTCTTGCCTCTTCCTCTGAAATAGCCGACCTGCGGAAGGTGCAGATCTCGGTGAGGCGGCCAGGCCCGTCGACGACGGGGTAGCTGATTGGGAATGCCATGCTGGGCAAATGTGTCGATTAAATGTGGTGAGGCTAAGTAGATGGGACTTTTCATGAACTTGATTCGACTCGTACAGCCCTTGAGAGACAATATCTATTAGTTGTATTCTGGGTATTGCTCAATTTTGTTCTATTTATTCGATCTGCTCCTTCATTATTTAAAATGTCATAAACTCGATCGGTTCCTAAACCAAACGCTAGCAGCTGATCACGGCCGTTGCAGGTGAAATTTGGATGAAGCTTCACTTACACGAGAGGAGAAAGTGGAGCGGCTGTGGAGAAGAGAGAGTGCGCTGCTGGGCACAACGCTAGAGTGTCATGGGGGTGATGGTGGAAATGTCTGGGGCTAGTCGCGGAAGATCGGTTCGCTTGTTCAACTCCGAACCGGCCAGAGTCGACGTCTGTAAGGAGTAGGATCCAAGTCAGTCATTTCCATTTTATTTCTTTAGAATTAACAAGAATGAAAATAATTAAACAAATAAACCGCATTGAAAATACTCAATATAAAAAAACATTTAATTGACAATTCGAATATTTGAACACGTATCCCTCTTACGTTCTTCGAGTCTGGTGTAGTCCCTTCTCCTAGTCCACTCGCACGTTTGTCTGCTGCCTTTTGGTGGATGTGTTGCAAGCCGTGGGCTTTTTCTCACGCGTCCTTTTGGTTCGGACACTGGACGTGTTGGGTGCTTCGGGTTTCCAAAGGCCGCGTTATCTGCTTCCGCTTGTTGTGCGCCACCACGGCCTGTGTTGTTCTTGGGGAAACGGATCCATATTCCTATCCTCTTCCGGCGACTTGACACTACCGAGCCAGGAGTCGACCGGGCCTTCATCCGGTTTGCGGTCGTAGGGATCGGGGGACATTCTTCTCAGGGTACACAAGTGAGTCGACATGCACACAGCTGGAAACCTGCCCATCTCCCTCGAATTAAACCTCGCCATCCAAATGATCGCAAATGAGCCCGATCGACGACCTGAAGCCTCTGAGTGCGTGATACACCGCTTTCTGCAAACCGATGATTCTGTACAGGATAATGGAGTAAGCCGTGGTTCGTCAGCTCCTACCGGTACTAACAATCGACCATTGCCGTCACCCGCGTTGTGCAATTACTACCAATGCGAATCAAAACAAAGTTTCTTCGCCGTCGTCTCTTTATGCAGTGTGAATTCCAGTTGCTCCATTACTTTTTCAGTTCTCTCTCTCTGTGATTTCTTCGGGGCTTTCTTTCTGTTTTATTTTTTTTTTTTTTGTCTGTCGAATTTCATTCGTCCAGCTACTGCGTTCCAAGTATTTGGTGGCATTCGTTCTTCTGTGTTTTGCTGATTTGGAGTGCCTTCCAGGCAACCAAGCAAACCTTCTCCACGTGATTTGCCAACCTGGTCGATAAGTTCATGTGCTGCGACGTATTCCCAGTTGCATGCCGCTTTGAAAACATCACTATTATCATCAGCGCTCGCGTCAGGACATGTTGGCGAAGCGGACTCTAACCCACTAATTGTTCACGGATATGTCGCGAGACGATACCTTTTCGCCCCTGGAGGATGAGAGTGCGTCGAGAGTCACTTCACTTCACACCGACCGAGCTTTTGATGCCGAGACGAGACGCCGCCAGAATGCAGCGCGTCATCTCGAATTCCTGAAGAAAGAGCACGAGACCTATGCGCACTGTCATGAGATCCTGGTCGCGGCCGACGTCGACGCTGAAGCCCAACCGGTGCACGTCACGCTGTACGACTGGACTTGCCTCCAGCCCTCCCCTACGTCATGGCCGCCGTCGCCAGAGCCAACAATGTCAACACCGTCGCCATCGGCGACCTTTCTCGTCAAAGACCCTGGGTCGGTACTGGCGGCCGTGAAGGGCTACCTAGACTTGGGCACCATTCGTCTGCCGGTCACTGCAACGTCCATCGCCGACCTCCTAGTCGATGAGGCACAAGACAATGACTACGACTTCTGCGACGACGAGGACACCCGCAGAGACTCTGCCGCTGCATCGTCCGGCACGGCGCCATCGCTACTGGACCTGCTTCAACGCTTGCGACAGCGTTTGGCTCGCCAAAGGATGGCAGCAAGAGGGCAGTTGGTGCAGCTCTGGACGTTCCCTGTGCAGACCCTGGCCTCTGACGATCTGTTTGCAGACAGTGCAAAGAAGTATGTTTGGCACTGGTACAAGCCCTCGAGTCCGTACGTGCAGAAGGGTGCCTGGGAGTCGCAGTTGGATGCTGTTCTCGAAAACGGGTCGTGGATGGCTGGGAAGGACTTGACGTTGGTCGTGCGCCGTGTATCGCAGCAGCTGTGGCAGAGCTTGGAAGACGGCTATATGCCAATGGACCCGTTTTCGTCAGAGGATGGCAAGGAATAGGCGTGGTCTCTGGGAAGCAACGGATTTATTTGTTAGCAACGGTAAGCCCCCCAAGGATGGTGGTATGGATGCAGTTGGCTTTCTCGCCTCACATCACGTCATGCCGGCAGCCGGGGGCTGTCATATGACATTCGTGGAAGTTAATCGGGACCCTGTTATGGAATTCACTTTGGCCAGGCACATCTGTGACGACAGACTCATTCTGTAGCTTAACTGAGACCAATCAGCTTGGAAGGGACACGACCTGCTGACAAGCTATTGGGAGGAAGGCCAAAATGGGGAGATCTGTGGCATGGGGAAGGTGGTGTGGGCACCAGACCGGTTCAGATGGCCGGCCGTTCCTTCCTCTCGATGCAGGTACAGTAGCTTAGTGAATGTCGTCCACAACCCCCATGGAAACCAGAAGGGAAGCAACAGAGGAAAAGATTTACTTGGCAGCGGCAGGTGCCGTGCAAAAGGGGTATGAGGATGGTGGAAAGAGGTTTATATGGATCATGTTCTGCCATTCTCCGCTGCTGGATGAGCTCCTAAAAACAATAAGAATATGGTGATATAGTGTAGTCCTTTGACAGCCTTTTAATTGATAGTCACTGTTGCTTTGGCCCCAATGTACCTGATTACTGTCGTACGTGGTTGCTCCTTCCGTACCTGGCGAAGACCTCTTGTATGTTCCAATTAGGAAATAGCAACCAGCTGACCTCCTCTTTCTCCTTCCTGATAACGACGCAGCAGAGGTAAGAAATCGCCAAGGGAAATATCGGACGCGGGGAAGCAAACAGACAAATGCCAATATAGGAAAGAGCTGGAATAAAAGAAACCCTGTGTGGCAAATGCGACATGGCACTCTCTCGTTGTGTTTATCTGCTCTTTCCCTTTTTGTCCTTCTCGTCTCCCACGTCTCTCCTTCTTCTCTTTCCTATTTTAATCCCCTTCGTCTGCTTCTCTCTCTCTCCTTCGCTTCCTCCTCTTTCTTCTTCCCTTTTTTTATTTTCAACCGCTTCTACACACGCTCCCTCCACACACCTACACTCGCTCACAACCACTTGCTTACCAGCACACTAAAGCTCGTTTGAAGAAGATCTGAACTGCTCCGTCACTTTCTCAGCGTCCCTTCTTTGTCACAAGGATACACCATAGAGAAGTCCACGGTAAGCGCGGATATGTCTTCTCGCCCAGCCCTTGCATTTGCCCATTTGACTGACGATGTTGTCGGCAGTCTAGCTTGTTTCTTCTTAGCTCTCCCTCCTTTTACCTTTGCTCCCACGATACTTCTTCGTCACCATGCACGCCAACCTCCAGAAGAAGCTTTGCAGCGCTTTGCTGCTCTCAACTATCCCGGCTGCTACGGCTGTGGCCAGCGCCAATACCAGCCAGGACGGCAAGCGTGCCAAAGGCGATAAAAATGACCCTATTGCGTCCTTTGAGCCGAATGACGCAGTGTTCAAAGACTTGATGGAAATGCATGAGAAGGTTAACGTCTCTACGTTCACATGGTACAGTTCCTTCCTTAACCCGTTTTTATTCTCTGTTTTGAAAAACTTCCCTTCCCACATCACACACTGGTCTTTACTTGTCGCCACTGCCCTCTAATTTATCCTCCCAGCTGCCACTTTGGCAATACCGACACCTGCTCGGACCAGTCCTGGTATCATCGCGTTACCGGCAAACTCTAGGCGAGTCCGCTGCAGCTGAATGACACCAAGTCTAAGACAAGCTTCAACATGACTCTCGAGGAGACTGGGCTCAACGCGACCCGCGGCGGAGGTGGACTCCCTGTTGAGGTTGAAGTTCACCTCGAGTAAACAACACCGAAGTGAACCACCCGGACGGCGGCTTGCGAGCACTTGGATTTACAAGCGCAGCCTTGTTCGACGCGTCCAAGGACGCTCGTTGCACACGACATATTGTTTTTGTCTATGGTCTGGCATGTTTTACATTCAATCTGATTGCAGTCTGGCAGAGGGTATTTTACCTGCACATTTTATTTTTGTTTCGCTTTCACCAACCATTCTTCGACCTGGATGCCTGCGAGGTCTTTGTGAGCCACGAGCTATCAGCTGTGGTCCACTTCTTCCAGTATGCTTGTCGTCGATATGGCGTTATCACGGATAGGATTACGGATACCATGGATATGACTTGGCCAGCGGGGGTGTACTACAGGCCGGAAACACAAAAATTCACAAAACGACAAAAAAGAATAAAAAGCCACTTATGGATGGATGTATGGAAGGAACGAGAAGGATCCCAGTTTTTATGATTTGTTATGTATCTGAGAAAAAACACACAAAAACAGTCCACCAATCTACCTCCATTACATTAATAAACCTAGACGAGTTGTCACTTCTGTCTTTTGCTATGCTTGCTGCTTGCTGGCCACGTATTCCTTCCGACGCATTCTTTCATCCTTTATTCATTTGCTTAGATCGGACTACGCCGCCGCCTTTTTGACGATGAGCACGACGCCGAGTGCCACGCCGCGGACGGTCTCCTTGCCCTTCTCCACGCCCGTTGCCTGGATGAGACGCTCGACCTCGCGGCGTAGCTTGCGCAGGACGTTGTCCTCGCCTTCGAGCCGGTCCGGGTTCGCCTCAGCCCAGCGCGTGTAGATGCTGCTGGTGGACATGACCTTCTCGAGGACGTCCATGTTGACGGGCACGTCGGCCGCAGTCATGAAGCGCTCCGATATGGTCCAGTCGCGGCGCACAAGCTCGCTCTGGGGAAAGCCCGCGACGGGCTCGGGCACGGTCCACGGCATCAGCAGGTCCCGGTACTGGTTGAGCACAAGGTAGTTGCCCTCTTTGAAGTAGGGCTTGAGTTCGCTGTCGTGGAGGTGGTCGATGGCGGCCTGGACGGCGTCGGCAGCGGGCGTATCGGGATGTATACGCAGATCGCCGGTGGTCCAGAGGGCCACCGAGCCGCCCGGTTTCAGGACCTGGGCCGCACGCTTCCAAAACTGCTGCATGTCGAACCAGTGGGCGGCGTTGCCGACCGCGACGAGGTCCACGGTGCCGTCCTCCAAGGCCACATCGGCATCGCCGCCCGCCGCGCCAAAGTCGTTGGCCCCGCCCTGGCCATAGTGAATGGGCTCGCCGGACGCCGATGTGCCGCCGAGCTCTTTGGCGGTGGCAAGCATGCCCGGGGCCGGGTCGATGCCATAGGCGTGAGCGAACTGCGGGGCCAGGTAGCGAGCGACGTTGCCCGGCCCGCAGCCGAGGTCGACGAGGATGTCAAACTGGCCGCCGGTGGCTTTGTGAGTGGTGGTGACGAAGTCGTAGACGGACGGGTGGTAGTCTGGGCGCGCATTGGCATAGTGCTCGCCCTGCTTGGCGTTGTACTTCCTAAAGGTCGTTTCCTGTGGAGCAGACGACATGGTGGGCGACGTGCACTGGCGGCTTGGCCCTGTTTACAAGGAAGTACTTTCGTATTAAACGACAGGGTCTTTGGGTCTCTTCTTGGTGTCGAGGTAAAAAATAGAAAGAAAAGAAAGCGAGGCAATTGGGAAGGGGGGGAACGAAGGAACTGGTCTTGGCGGGGAGATGCTGCCACCGACATTTAAGTAGCCAGCCTGCCCCGTCTGTCCCAGTACAGCTGAAGTCCTTGTCTTGGCGGGTTTGGAAGGCCCTGCGTTGAGGAGTCTTGGATGCCTGTCCGTTTGCGTACCTTTTTGCAGCTTTTGTCCCTGTTCAAAGTACGAGCGGCGGCATTGTGTACCCGTTGCCGGTCTACAATCTGCCGGCACGTCTGATTTTACAGGTCTCTTGGTATTGTGCCCCTCTCCCAATGACCTGCTCGTCCAGTCCATCTCAACAAAAGATACGACATGCATCGGGCTGTTACATCTCTATGCCCCTCAACAAGTGCCCAGTGCGTTGTTGCCAGGTCCCTTCCACGGCCACGTCGCGCAACTATTGGCCCGGTCTTATTATTGTCGAACCGTTGTTGGGCCTGTCTGACCCTGTGCCTGATCCGTTGTGCATGTCGCTCCTGGAGGCTCTGGTTCCTGGGTTTTAGCGTCTGACGGCGCTTATGGCAAAAGACCGATGTCCGACTCGCTTCGGATTTCGGGCATAGTTTGTGTCAGCAGTCCGCCAAGTGATCGACGATGCACGACGTAGACAGGCGACATTCCATGATAGATACGATATGACGTGAGGTTTGAGACAGTCCACAAGGCTGAGGCAACATGGTGCTGGAGAAGGTGTCGCCTCACACGGAACTGGAGGCCAAATGAAACTAAAGCCGCCGGGGGAAAAGATCAGCTGGCAGAGTTGTGTTGGTCCTCTCTGTCCTGTGCCATGAAGGGATTGGCGGTCGTGTTTAATCCAGTCGTTCCAGTTGCTCTGAAAGCAATACAAAGACAATCAATATAATACGAGTCCGACTTCCAATAAAAGACTTCCGCGGGTGCAACGAGTTCAAATGGAAGCCGACGGTCAAACACAGGAAGAAGGAAGATGAGAGCTTTGCGCACAAGCTTGGGCAAACACAACACAGGTATGATGGTGTACGTCGTCGGAGTCGCTTTTGTTTGTTCGTCCTGCTTATTCTCCTTCTTCATCGTCCTGTAGAGAACAGTAGCTCTGTTATTTATAGTGCTTTCTTATTCTTGACTTTCCGCGGCAACTGCAAAGACCTCTGAGATCGCACCTTCTCAACAAAATCCGGCACAGGGCTGGATTGAGATGGCCTGGCCTGGCCGGCAAGTTCTCGCCCAAGAAAGAGCCCAACCTTCTGACGCTAATATAAAAGGAGCAAACGGCACCACCAAAATTCCTCGGGAAGGCACAAACGCGGGGAAAGGGCGACTCGCTGCGAATGCCCTCGAAGTTGTTCTCGGTTTGCCTTGAGGATCTTTCCCCAGCTTTGTGTATGTTATTTTTGGTACCGAACGTGTAATTGCATGTTGAACAAGACAGGAATCCCGACCGGTTTTGAGTGTGCATTACCCACGTTTTCCTCGCCGCCATCGTTTACTCTCCTCCTCCCCCTCTTTTTGGGACCCGTTTTGGGAAAGTTCAAATCACGTGTCCGGCAACCACACACAGCAAAAGCATGTGAAGGTGATGTTACCTCGCATTTGCTCGTTCCCATTTCTCACCCACCCCGAAGGAAGTTCTCCCTTATCTTGTTTGATGTTGGGAATCCTTCAGCTGTGGGGAAGTCCCATGGGCGCCATTTTGTCGGTGTATCTTCCCGGGACAACCAGGAAAGTTTCAACACCTGGACTCCCCCGACATCTTCCATCTTAAAAACTCCACGATTGTTATCTAAATACCCTCATACCTTGGCTCGGCACAACATGGCTGGTCTGAATTTCGACATCATCAAACGGGTCGCGGCCGATGCTGTGCAGGCAGCCAACTCGCCGTCCGGCCGCTCGACGCTGGCTACGACGGCGGCCGTCGTTCTGGGGCTGGCCACCATCCCGTGCGTCAACCGGCTGGCGAGCAACTACAGCCTGGGCAACACCCTATTTGCCAGCACACCGTTGGCCAGCACAGCGCCGGAATGGTCTGACTGGTCCAAGGAGATTGTGCTGATCACGGGCGGCAGCAGCGGCATTGGGCGGATCATGGTACAGGAATTTGCGCGGCGCGGTGTCAAACTGGTCGTGCTGGACCGGCAGCGGCCGCTCGAGAGCGGCGTCGACGGCCCGTTCCCGGGGCCAGACCAGGGCGTGCACTTCTACGAGTTTGATCTGACGGCGCCGGACAGCGAGCTGGAAACGCTGGCGGCGCGGATCCGGCGCGAGGTGGGCGAGCCGACGGTGGTCATCAACAACGCGGGCATCGGCCACGGGCTGTCGCTGCTGGAGGCGACCAACGACCAGATGCGGCTGGTGTTTGCCATCAACGCCATTGCGCCGATCCGCATCACGCGCGAGTTTTTGCCGAGCATGATCCGCAAGAAGCACGGGCACATTGTCAACGTGGCCAGCATGGCCAGCTTTGTGACGATTGCCAGCAACGTCGACTACAGCTGCACCAAGGCCGGGCTGCTGGCGTTCCACGAGGGCCTGACGCAGGAGCTCAAGCACCGGTACAGAGCGCCCGAGATCCGCACCACCATTGTCCATCCGCACTTTGTCAAGACGCCGCTGCTGGGCGCGGCCGCGACCGACTCGGACGCGACCAACTCCGCGCGGTTCCAGGGCGGGCTGCTGGACGCGAACACGGTGGCCATTGGCGTCGTGAACCAGGTGCTCGCAGGACGCAGCGGCCAGCTTTTCTATCCGCCCAAGTTCGCCTCGGGCACGCTGATCCGGGCGATGCCGACGTGGCTGCAGGAGCACATCCGTGGCACCTTTGCGACCGTCTTTGTGCGGCCGATGGCCATGGGCGAGAAGAAGTAGGAACAAAGTTGTATGTGTGGGAAAGTGTGGCTTGGACATCTACGCTTGTATCTTTGAATAACACTATTTATGGACGCGATTTACGGTTTTGGATTTTTTGTGTTTCATGTTTGACTCGAGAGTTTGTTGAGTGTGGTGGTCCAATGCTCATAAACAGTCAATGCCGAGGCCTAGAGGCTTTTGAGCCTCCAAGCCGCAGGTGATCGTCGGTACCATTGTCCATTGTGGGGAATTCTCTCGAGGTTATTACCCCTGCATCTATGGGGGAAGACTTGCCAAGTTGGGAGGTTTTTGCACTTTGAGACCTTTGATTGGGAAGATCTAATACATCGTACAGAGAACTTGATTTGTCCACATTTGCCATTGAATATGGGCGTTGGTCCACTCACAAAGCATCTGTCTTTCCACCTCGTCTTTGTCCATCCACATCGTCACACTTCTGTGGATGTGAGGTGGTCCCAGACGGCTGACGCGTGGACCTTGATGACATGCAAGTACTCACGAATGGACGCCGACTCGTTGACTTGGGCCACTATTTCGGTCAGCATGCTACAGTACACATGATGTTTATGGTCGCATATGCGGTCCAGCGGCCTGTCGTGCAACACAATTACTTACTTGTCTTGGGGCTGCCGCCGTAGATGTAGGCAGGAATGCCGGCATAGCGGTAGTGCTTGCAGTCGGTGGCGCCCATCGACGGAATGGCAAGTGGTGCTGGGTCGCCTGGGGCCAAGCCATGGGCATTGCGAATCAGCAAGTCCAGCACCGGATGGCCCAGCGGCGATACGCTGGCCGGGTTGCTCGCTGGCTCGACGACCGACAGCACAAACGACGCGGCCGGCTTGTACTTTTCCGTGGCCTTTTCGATGACGGGCAGCACGTCGTCTCGCGTCAGGCCGACTGGCATGCGAATGTCCAGCGAGAACCGACACGTGTCCGGGATCATGTTGATGGCCGAGCCAACGCCGCCCTCGATGGTGCCAATGTTGACCGTGGGCTTGGCAATCACGTCGGCCGTGCCAGGGCCCATGATGTCGTCGATGCGCTGCCGCACGTCAGGGCGCCGCAGCTGCTCGACAATGCTGGGCGGCAGCCGCGCCTCGGCGTCCAGGCCCTCGACCGCGGCGACAACGTCGCCCAGGAACGCCGCGGCCGTCCGCACGGCACCCTGGCTCAGGTTCGTGTAGGCGCCATGGGCACCCGCCGTCGCGCACACACAGCGCATCCGCAGCGTGCCCTTTTCCGAGAAGCGCACGCTGCCGACGCCCACGGGCTCGGCACCGAGCATGACATCGCCGCCCCAGCGCGGCTGGTTCGACCGGACCAAGTACGACGTGCCCCATTGGCCGCCCGTTTCCTCGTCCGACACGCCGCAAAAGGCGACGCTGCCGCGCAACAGATGCCGCCGTTCGTACAGAAAGACGTACGCCACGAGCAGCGCCGCTGTCCCCAGCTTCATGTCCACGACGCCGCGGCCGTGGATGCGGTCGCCCTCAATGGCGCCCGACCACGGGTCGTGAGTCCACTGGTCGCGCGACGCCGGGTCCACCGGGAAGACGTCAATGTGGCCGTTCAAGACGAGGCGGGGACCGGGGCCGGCCCCGCCCGCAAAGTCGCTGACAATGTTGGGGTACCGCACCTCGTCGTTCGCCCCGTTGTCTCGGCTGGGGGTGACAATCTCGTATGGCACGCCGTGGCTGTCCAGAAAGGCCGTCAGCAGGGCGGCGGCGGCGCGCGTGTCGCCCGGCGGGTTTGGCGACGGTGTCTGCACAAAGGTCTGCAACAGACGGATGTGCGCGTCAGCCGCAGCGTCGAGTGCCTGCAGAAGCAGAGCCTTTTGGTCCTGGGCGGGCATTGTGGTGGTGATGCCGGGGGGGATGATGGCACGGGAGTAGAGTGAGAGCCGTTGGTGTTGGTGCTGCGTCGGACAAACGTGGAGATATGTATCAAATTGGACCCAAGTCAGCACTTACTATGTAAGCCGTACTTGGGATCTGAAATACGCAATGATCACGACAAATTGCCATATTCAAAGTCCTCACTAGTGACTCATCCGGCGATGCGATGCAACATGCAGACAATTGTTCATACGTATTGAAAGAGAGGATGAAAAGGCAAGTGAATTCTATCCGGATGGACCATATTTATGCCGTCGGCGAGCATCACCGATCAGTTATCCTTTGTCGAAGCACGACTACTAGGTTACGGGAGATGCATTGTTGATCCTTGCCTTTTAGTTCAACCAATTGCGTCCTAATGTGTGTTGACGCAATGCCTGTTTTACTCCCATCCGCTGTTTGGTAACTGAAAGTCGTTCTGGCCATCGCCTCACTCACTGCTATGTATTCGCGCCAGTTGACGAGACATTTCCTGCCGGGCGCAACGATGCACATTCGCGGACACGTGGCCAGCACTGGCTATTTAACAAGACAGGCCGATGCATCGATTCAATCCAGACACAACATGCAGCATATCTGACACCAACGGCAGAGCCACCGCGATTTAGCGCCGTGGTCGGTTACAAAGCCGTGATTTAGCTAGAGGCCGCAGCGCAGGACACCAAAAGAACGCAAAACGTGGGCAACCCTTCGTTGCGATGATTATCAGTAAAAGGCTGCAGTTCTCGTTGATCCAAGGACATGCAATTCTCCTATTAAGATGGTCTGGCCGTCCTGTTTGGCGTAGGGTAGCAGCATCAAGACAATGTAATACAAGGATACTGCACAGATCAAAACGACCGACGATATGGCCAACGACAAGACGACATCTGCCGACCCCCGCGAGGTCATCCGCACCCTCTTCAGCTTTCTCGATGCACAGGGCCAGGGCGACTACATGGGTGAGGCCGTCTCGCAGCTGCAGCACTCGCTGCAAGCGGCAAACATGGCCGTCGAGCACGGCGCCGACGAGCCCACGGTGCTGGCGGCGCTGCTGCACGACGTCGGCCGCTTTATCCCAGAGGCCGCGTCTCTTCCAAAGCTGATTGCCCCCGACGGCACGGCCTTTGGCACGGAAGCCCATGAGCGCGTCGGCGAGCAGTATTTGCAGCAGCTTGGATTCCCACCGTCTGTCTACGCCGTTGTTGGTGCGCACGTCTGGGCGAAGCGGTACCTGTGTGCCACGGAGCCACAGTACTGGGCGTCTTTGAGCAAGCTCAGCAAAATCACGTTGGAGCTGCAGGTACGTGCCTCCTCCCCTACGCGTCTTCTTCAATCTGATCTTCAACCTGATAATGTATCTGATAATGTATATGGCGTACTTGTCAACAAACAGGGCGGTACATTTACACACGACGAGGTGGCAGAGGCCCGCAAGGACCCGCTGCTCGAAAACAAGCTCAACGTCCGGCGATGGGACGACCTGGCCAAGGTGGCGGGCAAGGTCGTGCCGGGATTGGATACGTACGAGGACATGGCTGTGCACTGCCTTGCCGGCGCGAGGATGAGCGAAAATTAATTTGTGGAAGCAAATACGGATGTGCAAACGCTGTGTACTCATTACTCATTATCTGAATCCTCTCTCTCTCGCGCTCTCAGTTAAACACCCGTGAATAATGGTACGGATTCTTGCCGCGCGGCAGCGGCACGTCGACATGCCGGCTCACACCCTGGGCCCAGGCATAGCAGCACCACACGGCGACGAGAGCGTCACGCTGGTCGCGCCGCATAGGCGCTGTGACGAGGAGGCGCGGCGTGTTTGTCGGCCGGGGCGGCGGCGGCGGTGCCACCACCGCCGCATCCTTTCCCTGCTCCGCGCGAGCTTGCACGGCGATGCTCCGCGCCTCCATCGTCTCGTACATGAGCGCCACCTCGTTTCCCGTGGCGTCGAGCCACGACAGCACCCCTTGCCGCGTGGGGTGGTGCCGCGCCCGGAAAACGGGTGCCGGGTGCGCCTGGTCCCACCCGAGGCCCTTGATGCCGTCCTTGCTGTTGAACTCCATCAGGACCGGCTCCGCCGACCACGAGGCAAAGCTGCGGCCCCGCAGGCCCAAGTGGCCCAGCGGCGCCGCCCGTGCGTTGGTGGCGCGCATGTAAAACTCGGGACGGCTGCCGCCCAGGGCGCCGCCGAGGCCGACGACGTAGTCAAAGGTACGCGAGCGGTGCAGCGTGTACATATTGCGGGGGCGCAGGACAATGGGAGCTTCGTCGGACCGCTGCTCCAGGCGGTCCAGCTCGACGGCCTTGGTGGCTGGGCCGAGCGTGGCGAGACCGCGGTTCACCCGGTACAGGGGCGTGTTGGGCGCGTTCTCGGCAACAATGGTCTGGCCGTCCAGCAAAAGCGCGGCAGCGGCAACAATCTCGGCGTTGTAGGCATGCACGTCAAACATAGCCGTGTCGGCTGCCGCATCTTTTCCCTTTCCTGCCGTCCAACCAACCTCAAGCATCGATGGTTGGTAGGCAGGCGGGGCGGCGCCGGGTGGAGGGCCGGATGCAGGGCCATGAGATGGGCGGGACGTCTCCTCGTAGGGAGGGAGGATGGACTGCGCATCAGAAGCATCCTCGATAGCCGCGTCCGGTGGGAGAGTTGATTTTGAGTCTGCTGAAGCCATGGTGACTTTGTTTGTGAGGCGGCAGAGACGAGGAGAGACGACAGGTCCGCGGCGAGAATAAGTAACTTCTACGGCGTAATTCAGGCGAAGAAGGTCAACACGTCAAAATCCAAATCGTCAACAAGGGTCAACGGCCAAGACATGAACAGCCACCATCGGCAACGCCAAGACGCGATGGACCGGATGCAGTTGTCAGAGTTGATGATCGAGTTGCAGAATGATGTCAGTGGGCAAACAACGGCAAGGATGAGGAGAATGAATGCAAAACATTGCGGACAAGAGAAAATGAGGCAAAGATGAAAAACAAACAAAATTATATAAAATCTAGGGCGTAGCAACGAAAATGCACAGGATAACGAAACAACGAGCAGAGAGATTTACGAAAATGAAAAGGGTCCTCGTGATGAGAGGGGCACTGAATGCAACTGTTCGATGGATGCGACCGGACTGC